GGAATGATGTCACGGTCTTTTATATTTTCTTACGTTCGTATGATCTGATTGATCGACAGCCCGGGCGTTCATACATGCTAGGATGATCGAGGTCGGGTTCTTGTATCTGTATGTATGCAGATCTATCAATTTTTTATGGGGGGCATTGTCTTGATTATATATATAACGAAACAATTGTTGCAAAAAGTGTGGCTTGATATTCTGTGAATGTATACTAACCATACTAATTAACAAGAAGACTAGAAATTAATAATAATAAATAATAAAACGCGTACAATTGTACAATATGGAAAAGAAGAAGAGCATTGTGCAAAAATGCAAAGACAAAAAAAAGAAGAAATGCTCACACTCGGAATCGAACCGAGGATCTCATCATTACTAGTGATGCGCTTTACCGCTAAGCCATGCGAGCTGGTTGATGCAAAGGGATTGAGCAATAGACTATATAAAGTAAAATCAAAGATAAAGTAGCTGCCGGCCCGCATCGAGTTTCCTACCTGGGTCTTAGCGTTTATAATGAAGAGATTAGTGCCTTGGTGCCCTCCAGAGCTGCATTGAGAAAGCACCTCCCGATGTCGTATAGGTAATCATACTTTGAATAATACATGACTCACATCCCTTACTGCTCTATGAAGTGTTATCTGCATTATCATCTCACGGTAGGTGATATTTCTGTAAATTACACCCAAACCCAATATCGGAACATGATTCAGGCGTATTTATGGTATTACAAATACATCTCCGCATCCAGCTTTAAGCCGTCTTTCCCTCTCCAAGCTTTTTACCTTCTTTGATATCTCCAAAGCTCCAAGGATCTAGAGTCTCAACTCGAGATAGCTCAATTTATCTTGCTGTAAATAATGCGGTGGCTGTAAAACACCTATAGCCTCGTCACTCACATCTTATCATGGGCCCCCGAAACATCCGCTCGGTGGATTCCGCCGAGCATCAAAGCCCATTTAGCCGGTCCTTCACATCCAGCTCGCCCATTGCCGCCTCGGCAATTGCACGAGACCTCGCAGACTACAACGACGAGGACCGAACCCCCACCGATGAAGCTTCTGACACCTCAACGGCTCGTCCGCCCGGCAGCTATAACAGCACCAATCCCCGCTCTTTAGCTGATTCATATCGCCGCCCCGGCTACTTCACATCTGTCAGCCATGCGACTGTAGTTCCATGGGTCGGAGAACAGCAAGCCCTATCTCAAAGCGAGCGCGAGCAAGTCATCGAAGAGGAACGGGATCTACTCAGTGATAACCATGTTATCGCGCCCGAGCATGCGTATGGCAAGACCCACGGGCTGCAGCGTAAGATGAGCGGATTGTTATCCGCTGCTATCGGCCAAGGAATCTCATCTCGACGACCAAGTGCATCTTCTCGGCGCTCTAGAAGCAGGGATCCTGAGACGGACGCGGCAAGCGAAATCACTGCTCTACTTGGAGAGAGATCTGCCGATGCAGAGGGCAGTGAATTGGGCTTGGAAGAGATTGACCGGAGATGGGGAGAAGCCGTCGCAGCCGGTTTGATCCAGACGACATGGCAGCGCGAAGCCAAGGTCATTATCAAATATTCTTTGCCACTCATGGTCACTTTCTTGCTGCAGTATTCCTTGACTGTGGCGAGTATCTTTACTATTGGCCATCTGGGAAAGGAAGAGCTTGGGGCTGTCAGTCTTGCAAGTATGACTGTGACAATTACCGGGAATGCAGTGTACTCGGGCTTGGCGACTAGTTTGGATACGCTTTGTGCGCAGGCCTATGGCTCTGGGAAGAGAAAGCTGGTGGGCCTGCAGATGCTGCGTATGGTGTATTTCCTTTGGGTTATCACCATTCCAATCATGCTTCTCTGGTATTTCTCTGAGCATATCCTTGTCAAGATTATACCAGAGAAGGAGGTCGCTGAGATGGCGGGTCTGTATTTGAAGATTGCTCTCCTGGGAACCCCGGGATTCGCCCTCTTCGAGAGTGGTAAGCGATATCTCCAGGCCCAGGGTGTGTTTTCTGCCTCCCTGTATGTCCTCATTGTCTGCGCGCCATTGAATGCTTTCATGAACTGGTTCTTCGTCTGGGTAAGTACATTCCAGCCCTTTGATGAGGATAATACTGACTTTGGATACCAGAAACTTCAATGGGGCTTCATTGGTGCTCCAATCGCTGTCGTAATCACAGAAAATCTCCTTCCACTTGGCCTGTTCATCTATGTTTATTTCTTCGTGGGGTCCGAGTGTTGGTGCGGATTTACCAAACGAGCATTCCAGAACTGGGGCCCAATGATCCGTCTCGCACTCCCAGGGCTGATCATGGTCGAGGCAGAGTGTCTGGCATTTGAAATTCTGACGTTGTGTTCAAGCTACCTCGGCACGTCCGCACTCGCCGCGCAATCCATTCTCGCAACAATCGCCAGCATTACATGGCAGATCCCGTTCCCCCTTTCTATTGCGGGTAGCACACGGATAGCAAATCTTATCGGAGCTACCTTGGTCGACGCCGCAAAGATCTCCGCGAAAGTGAGCTTATGCGGAGCAGCCATTGTTGGCGTGTTCAACATGGTTCTTCTCTCATTTTTGCGTTCGTATATCCCCAGATTATTCAGCTCCGACCCCGAAGTCGTCGAAATTGTAGCGCAGGTGCTTCCGCTTTGCGCGGCCTTCCAGCTTTTCGATGCTCTCGCGGCAAACTGCAACGGTATTCTCCGTGGTCTGGGTCGCCAGGAAGTGGGCGGCTACATCCAACTCTTTTGCTACTATGCGATTGCCATGCCTCTTAGCATGGGAACGACGTTTGCTTTGAATTGGGGTGTTATGGGCTTGTGGACTGGGGTTGCCCTTGCACTGAGCCTTGTTTCCCTCATCGAGGGCATCTTTATCAGTCGAGCGAATTGGGATCGATCTGTCGAGGACGCTCTAGCGAGGAACGAGCAGACTTGAGTTGACTCTTGGTACAAGAGAAGACGCGTCGACATGACTTGATGTCCCAGTTCATGACACAAAATAGCTCAATCGTTCTAGCACATGTCTTTCCTTGGTTCTGCATTAGCGGTGGCTCCAAGTGATTTCTGTTCCAGCCTCAGTCGCAGTCCTGTTGTTAATTTTGTCTACATATTTCTTAAAAAACCAGATAGAGCCATTTGGACTCTTATTATATGTTATAGAAGACAAATCATGATATCATTGGAGTCTGAATGCGACTTTTAACGAACAACACAGACATGACCACACACATCTTTCTAGTACTCTAGAATAGCCCATGTCTGTTCATCCATAGTGGAGAAAATCACACCAGCACTGAGCAACTCCTCACCAGCCCTGGCCACTTCAGTCGCAGGGATGTTCAGTTTAGAAGCGATGACCTGCATGTGTAGGCCGGTGTCATCCTGAGGCTCAGTCTTGAGCAGGTTATAAATCTTCTTCGCAACAAGCGACATTGAGGCAAGAGCCTTGCTCTGCCCAGCACTGTAGTCATCCGCACCACCCATAACAGCATCAGCACCGCCGGCAGCAGCATTTCCACCAGCAGCGGCGCCACCGGGAGGGCCGCGAGTGAAGAACAAATGCACAGCAGTAGCCTCGAGCAGATGAGTATGCAGCTCATTGATATTCGACAAGGGCCGGACCGAATGAGCACCAATGTACCGCTTATTGCCGAAGGACTTGATAGAACCAAAGACCCGTGCGTAACCGTTGAGCACGAGCTCAGTCTTCCCATCACCGGGCGCTTTGCCATCGTCGGTGTCCATGTTGTCCGCGGTGGCTGAGTCAACCCATTTCTTCACTTCGATTTCGCCCGTGCCGTCGTCGAGCTTGTATGTTACGTTTGTGCTTTGAGAGCTGATGTTGCGTACTTGGCCCATGAAGAGGACATTGGCGACATCGGCACCATCGATTTGAAATGGTGCTTCTGGGAACGGCTGCGAGGCGTCGAGGACTTGCTTCACTGTTACGGGACGGAGGGTTTTGTTGTCCCGGTCACTGGTCTGTGTTGGGTATTAGTTGACGTTGCTGTATAGAGAAGTCTGGGGTCATGTGCATACCTTGCCTCCGGCGGGACTGTTCGCCTCACCCGGCATGAATCCTCCACCACCGCTGCCGCCGCCGAATGAGCTATAATTGTTGTAGTTTCCGTCTAACAAGATTGTTAGATCATAACTAGATCCACAGGTTAGATTGGGAGTGATACATACCCATGGTGTGTGTTGTGTTGTGAAGAGGAAAAGTCAAGGTACAGCGGTCTCTTGAACACCATTTTACTCGATTGGGAGCGTGTTGCACGCGTCGCGGGGATCGTGTTCTGTCTGTGTCGACCGCCTTCTAAATTGGACCGCGCTGTCTACTTTATCGCCTGTGTTCTCAGATTCAACATTTATATGCGATTTCTTATCTTACACCAATCAATTGCTCTCAAACAGACCTTATCATGATTTATAAAATGTTTACTGCCTAGAGATTTTTGTAACGATATGCCCCCAGTGTTTCAATCCAGCTGAGCTGTGCATCAAGTGATTGCTGGGGGCGAACTACAATTTAGGTACATACTGCGTATATATTGAATGCATAGTATCATGTCTCTGTGAATCTTTGAGTCTCGAAATATATCACTGTTACTATGAAGATGTTTCTATATTCAGCGTAAATTGTATAGATCACGTTTGTTTGGTTTGCACGCGGGATATAGTTGATCCGTGACTCACCGCCTGCGATTCTCTCAACTTTTTTTTTTGCGACAGAAAGACGGCGAGATAAGTGACTCGACTTTTCTTCAGGTGCCTGAAGTTTGAGCAGTCGAGGGTTTGTTTGCGTGATATACTATTTAGCACTGCAAATTAATCTGTGTTTTTACATTCCCTCCCGGCCATTGAAGAGCCGAACGATTTAACGCTTATCACTCACTTCATTTCCATATCAGTCGAGGCTTCACAGCATACCGCAACGATGCCTCGCCGTGCTGCCTCCCCCGCAGAATCGGAGGTCGAGTTCGACATCACGAAATCCCTTTTTGAAAATGACAGCGATTCCGATGCTGGCTCAAAGCCCCCCTAAGAAGAAAAACCAGAAGCCCGATACCAACCAAGATCTTGACTTTTTAAACGAAGACGACGGCGATGCAGCTTTCATTGCCAACTCGCAGGCATCCGCCAATCGAAAGGGTGCAAACCTCAAGGGCCGCACTGTGAAGAAGGGAGGTGGTTTCCAAGCAATGGGTCTCAGCATGACTCTGCTGAAAGCCATCACTCGCAAAGGATTTTCCGTTCCTACCCCAATTCAGCGAAAGACTATTCCCGTGATCATGGACGACAAGGATGTGGTTGGTATGGCTCGAACTGGTTCCGGAAAGACTGCCTCGTTCGTTATTCCTATGATCGAAAAGTTGAAGAGCCACAGCACCACGTTCGGTGCACGTGCTCTCATCATGTCCCCATCCCGTGAATTGGCTCTGCAAACCATGAAGGTCGTTAAGGAGATGGGCAAGGGAACGAATTTGACATCAGTACTCCTCATTGGTGGTGACAGTCTGGAAGATCAGTTCGGCATGATGGCCAACAACCCCGATATCATCATCGCGACCCCCGGTCGATTCCTGCACTTGAAGGTTGAAATGGACATGGATCTCTCTAGCATCAAGTATGTTGTCTTCGATGAAGCCGACAGACTGTTCGAGATGGGTTTCGCCGCACAGTTGACCGAGATTTTGCACGGCCTGCCCACGAACCGCCAGACTCTTCTCTTCTCCGCTACATTGCCCAAGTCACTTGTCGAATTTGCACGCGCCGGTCTGCAGGAGCCAAGCCTGATTCGTCTGGACACAGAAAACAAAGTGTCTCCTGATCTACAAAATGCGTTCTTTGCTGTCAAGTCATCAGACAAAGAAGGTGCCCTACTACACATTCTGCACGATATTATCAAGATGCCTACCGGTGAGACAAACATTGGCGGAAGATTACGCCAAGAGGCCGAGAACCCAACAAGGAAGCGCAAGAGATCGGATGTCCGTCTGCCGAGCGGCTTCAAGGAGTCGCCTACCGAGCATTCAACCATCGTGTTTGCTGCAACCAAGCACCACGTAGACTACCTCTATGCCCTTCTCGTTGAGGCAGGGTTTGCCACCTCTTACGCCTACGGTTCGCTGGACCAGACTGCTCGTAATCATCATGTTCAAAACTTCCGATCCGGCATATCAAACATCCTGGTCGTCACCGATGTGGCTGCTAGAGGTATTGATATTCCTGTTCTTGCCAACGTCATCAACTACGACTTCCCTTCACAGCCTAAGATCTTCATTCACCGTGTCGGTCGTACGGCACGTGCCGGCCAAAAGGGCTGGAGTTACAGTCTTGTTCGCGACAAAGATGCCCCGTATCTTCTGGATCTTCAGCTGTTCTTGGGACGCAGGCTGGTTCTCGGTCGCCAGTACGGCACCGAACTCAACTTTGCAGAGGATGTTGTCGTTGGGACGCTGGCGAGAGAGCAAGTCTCTCGCTCTTGTGAATGGGTACAGAAGGTGCTCGACGATGACATTGATATTTACGGACAAAAGCAAGTGTCCCAAAAGGGAGAGAAGTTGTATCTACGCACCCGCAATTCAGCTTCTGCCGAGAGTGCGAAGCGGGCGAAGGATGTCGTTTCTTCCGATCATTGGGCCGAGATTCACCCACTCTTCAACGATGCCACCAGTGAGAGAGAAGTTGAGCGAGAGAGTATGCTGGCCCGCATTGGTGGTTACCGGCCCCATGAAACTATTTTCGAGGCGAACAACCGACGAGGCGGCAAAGTGGAAGCCAATGAGGCCGTGGACACCATTCGACGTCTCCGCACTAGTGTCGAGAACAAGAGAAAGCGTGCTGATGCCAAAGCAGAGGCCGAGTTGCAAGCACTTGGAATGCCCACTCCCGGTGAGGATGGTCAAGTGGAGGACGACGATATCCCCGAACAAGCCGGCGAGAACATGTCAGAAGCCTCCGACGATGAACTCGAGGTGACTTTCTCTGCCTACAACTCCAAGTCCAAGCAAGGAGAGACGAAGGACGCAGCGGCAGCATTCCAGAACCCCGATTATTTCATGGGCTACACACCCCAACACAACGACATGGCCGAAGACAAGGCTTACGGTGTGCACTCGGGTACAAACTCGAACTTTGCCAGCGACTCTCGCAACGCGACGATGGATCTCAATGGCGACGAAGGCAAGCGCGGTTTCGGTGAAGCGCGTTCCATCATGCGTTGGGACAAACGACACAAGAAGTACGTCGCGCGCCAGAACGACGAGGACGGTTCCAAGGGCAGCCGACTTGTGCGCGGTGAGAGTGGAGCCAAGATCGCGGCCAGTTTCCGCAGTGGTCGCTTCCAAGCCTGGAAGAAGGGCAAGCGCGTGGATCGGATGCCTCGTGTTGGCGAGGCCGAGACGCCTGCTGTGAACAACATCGACTCGCGCATGAGCAGTGGACGATTCCGTCACAACCAGGACCGGGCGCCTAAACGTGCCGATCCTCTGCGTCGCGACTACGACAGGATGAAGAAGAAGAACGAGGCGGCACGCGAACGCCAGCACGACAAGTTGGGAGGTGCGGCCTATGGTGGCAAGAGCGAACTTCGGTCTACGGAGGATATTCGCAAGGCACGGAAGCAGGTGCAACAGCGTCGCGATAAGAATGCTCGGCCATCGAAGAGACGTTAGGAAAAGTTTTACTGTAGAATATATGTCTATATTGCAGAGATACCATTTGTGTTTAGAGGGGGGTTTTTTTTCACTCAGTCCGATGTATCCGGGATTTAGAAACTGCCCAGGTCACCACATGGGAAGAAGTTGTGTAGCCTAGACTCGATCCTAAGTATAGACAGATTAAAAATTTGACTAACTCAAGATTGAAACTTGGCCCTGCAGGCCATCACGTTTAAACCCTTAGCTCAACCTAGGCAGTGATCAAGGAAGATGTGATATCAGCCCAATCACGCCCTAGAGGCCTCGGACCCCCTAGTCATCGTTAGAGTATGTTCATCAATACCCTGGGAAAGGATTCGTAGAATTGCCGAGGAGTTTAAAGGTTGAGATTACCATCAGTCTTAGCCGTTGAGGCTAGGAGAATTCCCGAATAATCTCCGGACTATTTAACATCAAAGCCCCGATGAATCCAAATAGTCTTAGTTTACTCCACTTGACAAATTAAATGACTTGAGAACACTATGCCGTGAGTGGTAGGAGTTAGAGGTACAAAGGTAGAAATAATAGGTGATGATTGGCAGATAGATTAAAAAAACAGCCGTATAATTGTACAGACTATTTAATCCTGCATGAACGGGGTGACAGACCCCTTGCTGCTCCGCGTGCCGCATGTTCCACACCCCTTTTCCCTAGTCGGATCATGCCGAGATTATACATATATACGGAGGACTTATAGGGCAGAGTAACATACCAAGTAGGCTCATATTCCACATATCCTATATACCCATGACGTGGGAGCTGGAATCCTGCAGTTCTTAAGCCAGGGATGATCGTCAGCAATGTGCACGCGCAGAGGCAAAGGACAATGTGATCGCCCTAGGCGCCCGAAGGCTGCAGCCACATCTCTATTGGGGTCCCCGGAAAATAAAGTAGACCCCGAAGGATTCCTTTTCAAAGGGATGTTCTTTGAGATCCTTTTAAACCCTTTAAACCCTTTAAACCCTTTGAACCCTTTGAACCCTTTGAAACACTTTGAAACTCTTTGGAGATTCTTCCCCCTGATCTTTACAAAGTCACTTGAATGACTCCCGTGACAAGGTCCGAGTTCAACAGTGGCATATACAAAAAAAGGGAAGAAAAAAAAAAACAGTGGGTATGACAAGAATCTGATTATTGCGAGACCCGGGCACCCGCAACCTATTTCCAGAAAATACCCAAAAAGAAGAAAAAGTGGAAGAAAAAGGGAAAAAAAAAGGGGACATTTGCAGTGCCTGCAGTTGTCCGACTCAAACCCTGTGAGACTCTGATCTACTGTAACAGTAACCCCTAGACGGAGCATAAAACTTGGTATGATTTGGGGTGGGTCGGAGAATAAGGGGATTTATAAATGCTTAAAAGGGTTCAAGGGTTTGAATTCGGGATATTTTGGAAGAAAAAAAAAAGGGCATTGTAACCCTAATTCGATTCCGGAGTATGAGATTATCTTGAATCTAGATCATATTAAATGTGTAGGCATGTACTCCACGCAATAGTCCAAGGTCGACTATTGGCAATGGCTGCGGGCGCCGACGTCGATCCGTCAATCTTCCCACCTTGCTTGGTCCTGATTGGTATACACTGCCCCTCTCCGGGAAAAATGGAAAAATGGAAAAAAAAGAAAAGAAGTCCGCTGGCATCCCTTACCCTTTTTACCCTGGGATGTCTGACAGATAGCCCCGAGGTGCCAAATAGGACAGGGGGCAAAACAGGGGAGAGGGGGAAAAGGTATTCTCTTTGACAGTAGGAAAGAGTATCAGATCAAAAAAAGGAGTTTAAGAGGGGCAACCGTTAAATCCATTATTCTCCAATGATCTACCATGACGAAGATCAAGTCTATCAGTTACTAGCGCCTGCATTGACCACTTGGGTGTAGGGTATATGCTGGATGTAGTCCAATATCTTTGGACTATCGAACGCCTTAGGAACATTCAAGTGGAGAGGTACTTTATTTGTCTTCCATTTACATCTTCCCACTCTCGGATATAGTCCACCGTTTCCTTCCCCTTTAACAAAATACCTGGGAACGTGGGACGTGTGATCAAGAGGTAAGGCGTGGGGTGCTTTGACATTTTGCTGCACCTTGATCCTAGCTCGATGATCGCCTGCAATAAGTCGCCCTGGGAAGACATGCGTATGAGTAACCCTGTGCCCTGCTGTCATCTAGAAATCTCTCGATGCAGTCTACTTTCTGACTCCTCCAATAGCGGATCTCTCTATATTGATTATAAGCTTGACTCCTTGGACGGTATTGGAAGACTTTGATGGGACATTCTTTTCTATTCTCTACACCGCTGCGCTGACTTTTCTTCTACTCCATCTACTCAGACATGCTGCACCAAAGTACCGCGATAGCCTGCGGTCCCTGATTGTGACTTTGAACAAAGATCCACCTAAAAAAGAAAGGAAAAAACACAGTGGGAAAAAAAAAAAGAAAGGAAAAAAAATCCAAAGAAGCAATTGTCCCGTGGGCCCATTCACTTCTTTGCCCGACACCCCGATGCAATCACTCGTGCTTCACCCTCCGAGCCTCACTATCTCCCAGTTTGGACAGCCCCGATTCAACCAGGGCCCAGAGCGGCTACCGTTGAATCGATCTTGGTCCCCCAATGCTCGAGGGTGTAGCCCCCGGGCTGCTATACCCCATCAATCTATGTCTGGATCCCCTCCAGCAAAACCCTCGGAGCCGTCCGCAGAGATCAAGCCTCGGGGATATCCTTCCTCACCCGTCACGGCTGAGCGGTCTGTATCTGCATTAGAGTTATCGCAAGTGCCAGTGAATGAGCCACTACCACGGTTGGGATATAACGAACAGGGACCGGTATATACTGGATCTCCACGACCAGGAGCACCGCCATGTCCACCCCAAACCCTGGACCCAACGCATCCCACAGGTCGCTCATTGGCACAGAAATCAACCCGACGCACGAAAGCCCATGTGGCATCGGCTTGTGTCAATTGCAAGAAAAAGCACCTTGGATGTGACCCGGCTCGTCCGTGTCGAAGATGTGTACTTGCTGGAAAAGCCGTGAGTGCTGGAAGAAATCCCCGTGAACCGTGGAATCGCAACTAACAAGTAGGGGGGGGGAAGTCAACATGTGTGGACGTCACGCACAAAAAGCGAGGACGACCCCCATTGAAAGCAGAGGATTCATCTCTCAGGTCCTATACCACACATTTGGATAACCCGACTATCCCAGCGGAGGCCCAACCAACCATGCCCCCACGGCGGACCACTATGCATCGGGCTACGTCTTCACGAGAATTACGGCCCATGACGGATCTACAGGGATTGGCAGATGCAAACTCGGCAGCAGTACGGACACCACACCGGTGGTCTGCTTCGGTATTTCCTCTAACGCGGCCAATGGACCCCTCCCCAACGGTCCCGGGAGGTATGATTCGACGCCCATTCTCTTCATCTGGACCGCCATCCCATTCAGTACCGACGCATTCACATGTACCTTCACCATATATGCCCATGACAAGCGGGTTCAATCCAGCCCTAAAAGTCCACAGTATGTCTGGTGGCATAGAGCGGCGATTTCCAACGTACGGCATCCCAGCATTACCACCACCAACATCACCTCCCCAACACCAACCGCCGCCAGTTAATATACCATTTCTGCCGTATACCGAGACGCCTGGGAATCCTATCCGTCCAACAAATGATCCACGAGTATCGCTATCACCTCGGGACCCATACAACATCGAATCACCAGTCCGGCTCCCTCCAATCCATCAGGCCACAGCCGGGCCACCGCCCCCTTCCCACCATGTCCATCGCCTCAGCGACCCGTACCCAATGAATTGGACTCTCCCAGGCCGAGAAGAAGCCCTTCACGACCCTCGCACTGTTCCTCTCCACAGATCTGCAGGCCCAGTCTTCAATTACTCCATGCCCCACCAACGCTCCTCATCCATAACAAGCGCAACTATGGACCCCATACCCCGCCACCTTGGGCCGGTGGAATTACCATCCCCGATTCAGATAACATCGGGCAGCTCGCCTTCCATGACAAGGACTGAACCACCCAGCACCGAGGCCGAGGGTCATGATAGCAGACCTATCAAACGACGCAAGATGGCTTTGGATGATATGGTCAACGGCTGATTCCAGCACTACCGCTCTCAACCCAATCTGCAACCTGATACTGATACCAATCGGAGGCTGGAGTTCCTCCTTGTACTGTATAATCATACTCTTGAATCCCCTGTAGCAGGGTCTACGGGGAGTAATCATCGCGCTGTTTGGGATTCTCTATCGAGAAAATGATTCGGACAGATTTGGTCTCGTTTCATCGGCTCAATCTCATTTCCCATAACTCGTTTTGTTTTCCTTTGTTTGTTCCTTTCTTTTTTTCGAAATTGCAGGACATCAAAAAGTATATGTTCTCATTTCCCGGTGTTTTCATTTCCTTTTTCCCTATGTTTATTTGCCAGGATATCCCATCCGCATTGTTTCCTGTTTTTTTTTTTTTTTTTTTTTGGGCTTTTGCATTTATCATATCCCACCTCAGGACAGCTTTCGGGTTTGCTTGTCTCTACTCTGCTGGACAAAATGGAAGGTGGCTGGTTGAGGGTCTCTTTTGTCATCTCCTTTGTCATTGTTTATTTTGCATCTTCTCATTTGTCTGTCTTCGATTCCCCTTCTCGCGAGTACCCCCTATAGTTGATGCGCGATTTTTTGTCCCTAAGACACATGGCACGGCGTTTTCGCGGCGAACATGGGGGTCGTCTTGCATTGGTTTTTGTTCTTTTTTTTTTTTTTTTGCTCTTTGAGGTATGAAATGTCATTGTCAAGCAGTTGGCTATTTATCTTGATGTGTCTGCTGTACTTTCAAACCTGTACATCTATGGTATCTATATAGTTACCCATAGAGCCACATCTATGTCATTCGGACTTTATCCCCATGTAGAAACTCCTCGCACATACATTAATTAGTAATCTTAACAAGGAAGTAAAATAAAAATATAAAAAAATGCACTAAGAGGGAATCGAACCCCCGGCACAACATAACTTGCTAGTCAGATGACTAACTGGAAGTGTTATATGTTACCACTACACCATTAGTGCTTGTTATGGTAGTTAGACATATGTTCTGATTTATAGCCGACAATTAATAGCATTCAAAAGCAGTACTCTAGTTCGAGATAGTTGGAGATTATACTTGTTAAGGGTCTAAAAGAATTCGCTATTGTGAATATATAAATTTTGGCACGTGCGACCGTAATAGACCCATCGCAATGGTAGTATTTATGGCAAAGTGTGGTCGGAAACATCTATTCATGTGTCATTCTTAGACACCGAGAGTTGATAATATATATCCATAAACATTTTACCCTATTGTGCCAACCCTTCTGCTGAAACAAGAGCTGTAAACTGAAGCATGGCAACAAAAGGGGAAGATGAGTTACCACGCAAACTTGCCTGAGACAAAGATTTCCCTTTGTCTTCCCTAGATATAAAAACCTTACTTTTATCTTCTTCCAAAGATCGTTTCATTTCGTCCTATGCTTCCATAGCCAATGGTCGAGTCAGTAACTGCCCAATGAGGCAAATAAAACAAGTACATACTGTGAAAATGACATCGACAGCATCTTGGTTTAAACACAACCCCCCTTTAGTTTCAAGTCCGGAGCCCAATGGCTTTGACTGCTCGGGTTTGAAGCTCTGTAACGTTATCTGTCACGGAGCTGTTGTTCTTCATCCCAGACCCATCGTCCCCTGGTGTACCGAAATAAATGTTCATGTCCAGGGTGCGATGCGGTGTTTGTCGCGCAGAAGGTATTTATGCGGATGGCGCAGCCTGATAGTTGAAAGAGGAGACACGTTGGAAATTTATCAGTACCCTGCAATAATTACACGGTCGGATAGTCGAAAGAAGATGACGCGCGGTAGTTTAGAATCGTTTCAACCAACCTTTGGAAGCAACCAAGCCACCCAGTACACCTGCAAGTACCGGATAGACAGCGGAACATTGTTGTCATACATGCCTAGAGAAAGCATTCGATTTATTCTATTGTTCAAGACTTGCTAATATATCAGTGTGTTGGTGTTCTGAAGTTTACGAAAACCAAACCTGACGACTGTATCAATTATTGCAGAGAAAGGAATAGACTAGAGATGAAATATGCAAGCCTTCCATGGTCTTTAAGAAACTGGTAAGAAAGCGATTTCTCAGATCTATCTCGAGATAGATTTCTTCGGCCACTTGCGGGCACAGTCGATTGCCGATCAAGCGATCGGTTGTGGAGCCCCGGCTGAGATCAACCTGCAGTGATGCATCTGATACTAAATCTTCTGGGATGCTTGATGCTAGAATATAAACATCAGCTAATCATCTCCCAGGTTGCCTTGATATTCATTACAGCATGTGCAAGAGCTCATATCATTTCCTCTACAGCTCTCCCGTCATGAAGTGGATAAGATGAATACGTGGGTCTATCTATGGAACCCTCTGTATATCATTTCCTAAACCCGTGTGATCAGCTCCCCTGTTTTACGCTGAATTGTCCCTCTTCAGATCCCCCCCTCTTCAGATTCCTGTTTTCATCTGGAAATATACCTACTTTCTCTCCATCAATATCCACACAACGGCTCTTATATACCTCAAGTTACACCATACAAGATGTTCAACCGATTCAAAGACAAGCTTCGCCGCAGGCACAAGAAGAATGGACAAGAGGTGAGATATACAGGTACACTGGCATCCACACAGTATTCTGAAAATCGAGAGATGCCACCATATAAGCTACCTTTTTCTTTGGCAAAGCTGATACTCTCAATGTTTGACCAAGTCCACACCATCGAAGCCAGAGCAAACAAACAACGTAAAAGTTCCACCCGTGGCAGCTCCTTCCGCACAGCCAGCTGCTGCCGCCAAGCTGCCACCGGTGGAGGGAACCCCGTGGGCTGAGCCATCGGCCGACGAAAACCCAGCCAAGAAGCCAGAGGCTCCAAAGGATTTGTGGGTGGAAGCCCTCACCTCCCTCTCTAAATCCAAACAGGAAACGCTCAAGAATATGGGATTCAACCAGTCCAGTGTACAATCTGGAACCGTCGAGTCTAGCATTGACGACCTGGTCGACGTGGTCAACCAGAGGCAGGAAGAGTGCGAGAAGAAATTCTGGAAAGTCACAGTCGGCGATGAAGAAATTGTGCTAAGGAATTATACAAACAAGATTGTGAACTGGCTAGAAAAGACTGGAGATATTGCTGTTCAATTTGCTCCACCTCAAGCAGCTATCCCCTGGGCTATCATCAAATCTGTCATGCAGGTAATTCCCCCACTTTCTTCCTGTTGTTTTTGATCTGGGCCCCTGTCCTTCTCGTCACTTCAATCTCTCTTATGTAATTTGCTAACCTATGGCATCAGATTCCAGTCATCGAAGGCGAGCAAATGGCTGCTTTGCTTGCCACCACGGAAAAGATCGTCCGCGTGATCAGTCGTGGCCAAGTTTATGAGTCGGTGTACCTCAGGAACAAACCCGTCACAGATAGCCTCTCAAAGAACCTCCAATCTGCATTGACCACGATCTATACTACGTCGTTGGATCTACTTGCTGAATCGGGAAGTCTGTTCTCCGAAAACACAGCCATGCGCACGCTTCAAGCACTCCTCAATCCGGACAAGGTCTCTGGCAGTATCTCGGCTATAAGTGAACAAGAGGATGATCTTCTGCGCGATGTCTCAGCGTGTGAAGTGCGACGCAGTGCGAACGCAGATAACAGCATGATTGAAATGCTGAATGCTTTCAATGCCCCGATGAAGCGGGTAGATGAGAACATTCAACACCTCCTTCAAAATATGGACGAAGAAAGGCGGATCGAGATGCTGGAATGGATCTCGCCCATTCCGTTTGGCAAAAATCATAATAACGTCAAAGAGAAGAGGACGCCCGGCACGGGTGAGTGGTTACTACAACACGAAGACTTTACCAACTGGGAGCAAACCGACTCGTCTATCTTCTGGCTCCAGGGCTCTCCTGGTACCGGAAAGACCTTTCTTACATCAACTGTCATCGACCGAATTCAGGACCAACTGAGTGACACACCTAAGAATGAAGGCTTCGCATTTTTCTACTGCGATAAGAACGAACCACGACGTGCACAGCCGCTATCGATCCTTCAAAGTATTGTCCGTCAGCTCTCAACTACTGCGAAGCATCCTGAATCTACACAGACGAAGCTTTGTGAATTATACAACAAATGTCGTAGTGCCGGGTCAGCCTTCAGCCTGGAGCAGTGCAAGGAGCAAATCCAGGTCTCGCTGGATATTTTTGAGAACACCACGATCGTGATTGATGCCATGGACGAATGCAATCCAGATTCCCGCGACGAGCTCACTGACGCCCTGAATTCATTCGTCTCTCAATCTAACAAACGGCAAGTAAAAATTTTCATTTCAAGCCGACCCGACCCCGACCTTAAGGTCCAATTGAAAAACGCCCCAAATGTCGGCATCAACGCAAGTGACAACAAAGGCGACATTCAAAAATATCTCAATGTTGAGTTAGATAAGCTTGCTAAGAAGAATCCTTTCATCGGACGCTTGAAATCGAAGATTCTCGATACCCTACTTGGGCGCTGTCAAGGAATGTTTCAATGGGCAGCTCTGCAAGCACACCAAATCCAGAAGTGCAAGACTGAGTCTAGTGTATGGAAACGGCTTGAAAACCTCCCGGATGGTATCCAAAAGGCATATGACGAGGCATGGAGTCAAATTGAAGAGCTGGAGGAACCTGATAAAATCCTGGCAAACCGTGCTATGCTGTGGACTATGGCTGCTGAACGACCGCTGTCCACATCCCAGATTATCTGCGCTGTTCGCGTGAACACGAAGGGGGAGCTATCTACACTGGCCGATGAAATTGATGAGCAAGGCTTGCTGTCACTCTGTAACAACCTTCTCACAATTGACTCTCAGCAAAAGGTGTGGCGGTTTGCACATCTATCGGTTCGCGAATACCTTGAAACCAAGTTGCAATGGACCCTTCCACGAGCCAATTTCCACGCTGCTAGTGCCTGTCTCTCATGGTTCATCACCATGTACGATAAAGACGACAGCGATGAAATTAATCTGTCAGATTGGAAGGGACAACCAAAGCCAGCTGACGTCCTTCATCTCATGCATCCATTCCATCTACATATGAGACATCACTGGGCAAAGTATGTTCAGGAGGCAGAGGATGATGAAGAGGCTACATTGTCCTCCCTTTTGAAAATCTTCCTTGGATCCCCCGAGGAAAGCAGCAAGCAATACCAGAAATGGTATGAAGTCATGGCGAACGATTTGGAAAACATTGTTTCAGTCACTGATCTTCAAGGCACGGATGTATACAACTTTTACCTTGCGGCGGGTGGATTTGATGAAGCAGAATTCGACACATGCGACTTCAACCAGGCACAACATCCGGAGTATGGCGAGTTTGAAAGCGAGTTAGGGCCATCAGATGCTGCTATTTATGCGATGTGTCATCTTTCGCTTGCTGCGATACTATCGGACTGGTGGCAGAACGCAGAATTAAATGTTTCGCGCGTAAATGAAAGAGGCCATAATCTCCTCACGCTTGCCGCTCGAGTTGGTTGTACACCAATTTGCAAAACACTCGTCGAAAAAGGTGCAAATTTGAACCAGCAGATTGAGGGCCGAGATTACGGTAGTGCCCTTCACGCAGCAGCTCACCGGGGCCACACTGAAACGGTGAGATATCTGCTTGAAGCAGGTGCAGACGTGAACATGACCGTGGAAAACGGCAAACATGGATCCGCTCTCATCGCAGCGCTTGCCTCCGAGAAAGTCGATACGGCTAAATTCCTGATCCAAAAGGCGGGTGCGGATGTCAACAAGACCCACACCCTCGAAGAGGAGGAAGAGGACGAAGATCTAGAGCCGGTCGTGGTTCTGACTCCAATTGCACTAGCAGCCAAAATTAAGGGCACGGAACTTCTCAAGATCCTGGTGGATGCTGGAGCCGACGTGAATGTGTCAGAACAGTCTGGAAATGCCTTTTCTGTAGCGATCAGATTCCACAATTTTGAGGGTGCTAAGTACCTGATTCAAAAGGCAAAAACAGAGGTAAACTTGCCCATCCTGGAGGCTAGCTTCTGCACTCTCCTAGAACGGGCATCAACCGACAGCAGAAATCTGGAAATTGTCAAATGTTTAGTTGAAGCAGGAGCCAAGGTGAATCCATCAGAATGCGGAGAGCATGGGACGCCTCTCGCAGCAGCAGCATATGGAACCAACAACGCAAATAAGGCAAGCTCAATTGAGACTGTGAAGTATCTTGTCAAGGCAGGGGCAGATATTCATAAAGGGGATGGGAAGAAAAGCCCTGTCTCTCTGGCAGTACTCGGCCAGGATATCGAGGTTCTCAAATACCTGGTTGATGTAGGCGCAGAGTTGAATGTGGCAGAGGAATTCGAGCAATCAATCAGATCCGGATTTCTCGAGGGTGTCAAGTACCTGATCCAGAAAGGTGCCGACGTCAACCAGCCATTTACCGAGGGAGACCATGGAGCTGTCCTCGAATATGCAGCAGCACGGGACAGAACTCTTGACATCACCAAAGAACTGGTGGGAGCAGGAGCAGATGTAAATTTGCTATCACAGAACGGAGTCTATGGTAGTCCTCTCGCAGCAGCTGTTGCATCATACCTAGGTGGTGATATCGACGCAGCCAAGTACCTGATCCAGAGTGGTGCTGATGTCAACTTGTCATTGCCACATGGAAAATATGGCAATGCTCTTACAGCAGCAATAGCACATGGCTGTGACGTCGAGGTTGTCGAGTATCTCATTGAGGCAGGAGCAGATGTGAATGCGTCATCACAGTACGGGGACTATGACAGTGCTCTTGCAGCAGCCGTGGTATCCAGGGACAGCACCGATGTTGTTAAGATCCTGGTGCGTGCGGGAGCAAATGTGAACTTACCACTCAAGCGTGGAGATTGTGGTAGTGCTCTCGCTGTTGCCGCGAACAAGGGAGATCTGGAGGTCGTTGAGTTCCTGGTCGAAGCAGGGGCCGATGTCAATATGCCACTCGAAAATGGAGATTACCGTAATGCGCTTGCAGCTGCGAAGGTGCAAGAGGAGAACGAAGAAGTGATAAAACTTCTTGAACGTGGGGAAACAATTTGATTGCCTTTTAATATGAATATATCTTTTTCCTCTTATAACTTTACTTTGAGAGAGAGAGCAAGGACAAACTCGTTTTCTATCTAGAAAAGACAAGGTATGCGGCACCACCTTGCAGCATTTCAAATCCGAGGGCAGCTCTAGAGTCTTGTAATGACTGCCGTAATATGGAGTTTATAGGAGAATCATGCTCTACAGGGCTGTCGGAGGTCCAAATTGAGATATTTGAAAACCCCAACAGGAGTACAGTACTTGTATCTCAATAACGTCCGGAATGGCAAAAACGTCAATGCATGGTAACTTTCCCAGCTTGTCCAGAATGGTGTTTATCGGTAAGATGGAGGTTGCAGCCGAGGACGTCGCCGCTAACTTGAACGGAGAGGTGCTTGTCAAGGGCAGCTGAAATTGCACGCAGATTCCACAACCTTGTGGCAACGAGGTAGGTTTGGTCTTGGGAACTGTTGACGCGATCACCTCATCAATAGTCTCCACAAACTGCGCGAACTTTTCCACATTGACACTGCGGTCATCTGACGGCTGACGGAGGAAAATAAGTCCCCCTAACTCAATATGAGGGGCGCCCTTCGCATACTTTATCTCTTGAGTAAGCGAAGCATTTGATGGCGTGAATAAAAATATGGCCTTATCTGTCAACTTTGACTGAGCTGGCAAAGGCCAAGGCGAAGACCAACGTAAATGGAAGGACATGGTTTCAGTGGACATGCTGAATTCAGTACCGGATATTGCAGCTGTGAAAAATCCTTTGGACTGAGCTACTGTCAGAAACACTGTATTTCCTGTCAATATCAACCACAGGGAAATATTGTAACGTCCCAACTCTTACCTAGACATCCGTCCTCCACTGGCATAACTGTAGCTGTGGGCTGGTTCGGACAAATGTTCAAAAAGTTCATTGCAGTCAATTGGTCGGCCAGAGGTCCGGAGCATAGCCGCCTCGCTGGGTGTGTATCCTTATCTCCCCAATAGTACACACTGTCACAGGCCTCGTGCATCTCAGACTCAACGCGCAGTGGACTTTGGCTTATGGTGCTTCTGAATGGAATGGAGTTCTTGAAGCCCTCTGCATGACTAGGTGGCACAAGTAGATAAATGTCCTTTCCCGCCTGAACCACATTGAGTCCTTCTGCAGTTAGCTGATTAGAGGATGTGCGTAGCGAGGCACTTCCCTCCGCGCCTGACAAAGTGCTACCGGACTCTCTATCTCGGTTGACAAACGGTGGACAGGGGAAGAACGGGGCGGAGTCCGGTCGAACGACAAATGCGCGCGTCATGCCGTGTTGACGGGAAACAGCAACTTCTTCGTCCGTTGAAAGCATGACATGGTAATATGGCTTGGTGACTTTCTCAGCTTCCTGGATTTCCATTCCAATAAGTGTCGCATTTCGAAAGCCTAGGATGGCTGTGTGGAAGTCTTTACGACCAAGCAGAGGTTCCTCAAACTCCAGCATCTGCCACCGACGAAGCTGTGTGCCATGTCGCTGAGATTCCCCGTAGAATCGGTCGCAAATGCGTAGAAAGTCAAGAGGATACGCCGTGGGACCTTCCGACTCTCGCTTTAGGAGGACCATAACCAGCTCACCCCCTGCAGCGCTGGCTAGACCAGATGAGACAAAGACCCAGCAATTCAGGTCTCGCGCCGGCACCCCCGAGGTTTTATTTTCCAGACGACCCAAGGTGGTGGAGTAGACGAGCACCTTGAGATGAAACCGTGATGTCTTCAACTCCACCGGCCATGGCAGCGAGCCTTTCGAGACGGCGTTTGCTGCTGAGCTTTCTGGATGTGAAACATTTGACTTTCTGGGCTGAGGGGCACTTTTAGAAGTGGAGGTTTTCTGATTAACACGGTCGTTTGTCGCACGATTTTTGTCCAGTCTTCCACGCAGTTTGTTAAGAGCATCCATGTTACAGTAAGAGCAATGACGATTTCACGTTTGAGGGGAGATTGTGTCAATTTAAAACCATCGTGCTAGCGCGAGCCGGCCTCAGCCCTTTTGCCAAGTTGGCTAAACCCGCGACTAGCAAATCATCTCGTGTCACGAGGCTGATCCCTCGTATTGAGCCATTCAACCCCTTGGCATCACACTGATTCTGCGAGGTCTTCTAGTTTCTCGAGCACCTCGGATATTAATCTAACGCCCCCAGTATCCCCGACTGAGTCTTGATTTAAACACCATTCAACAGTCTGGCGGTATCGTCGACCCATTAATATCTCCGTCTCACGAGCCATCCTTTTCAGTGTCTGACTAATGTCTATAGGGGTCATGTCCGCGTGGAGCTCATGTAGATTCTCCAAACTGGACCATATACCCACCTCCAATAAAATGACACCGAGGCTATAGATATCATGACACATACTGTGTCGTACATTCGTGGATGGATGCTGCAGGTCGGGATGTATATAAGCCCCTACCTCTAGTGGCATTTGCCTACGGCGGCCGGGATCGGTATCGCCATCACTTGTACGGGCGACCTCGAATCCTACCAAGGCGGGGGATCCAAGGGCCCATTTCATCGATCTCTGTCCATTATCTTGTTGCCCTTTCTGAGAAACAATTCCCAAAAGAAGGATATTCTGAGCCCGAATCGCCTTATGAACCCATCCCAGAGAGTGAATGAAGAATATGGCAGTCGCCAACTTTCGTGCAAATCCCAATCGTTGATTGAGGGTATACTTAAGCTTCATCCGCCGCCCACTTTGGTCTTTGGCACCCAGAAGCGCTTTGAAGGATATAAAGTCCCCATCGCGGTCGATGGGCAGCTGATATATTAGCCCGAAATGGGCCGAAGGAATCGAGTTATAGTAGAACCCTATACACCGCAGGAGGCCTGTCACTGTCGAGTCCAAATAATTGAGCGCCGCCGCAAATTCACCGAGCTCGGTCTTTTTTTCTTCCAGGGAAATTGTATCAAGATGTTCCATCTGCGGCCGGAATTCCAGTAGGGTAGTTCGCCCATCGAGAACACCCAGGGAGAAATGCGACCCTTGCGGATGGCTCATAGCCCGGACCTCCTCCGGTGTGACTAGAAGGGGACCCCAGACAGCCCTCTTTGCAGTAGCAGCTTGAGCTGTAAACCGCTCGATTCGAGTTCTGGTGGCGAGGTTGGGGGAAATAGTTTCTTGTGACTCCCCTAAAAGCATTACAGATCGCGCCCGTTCAGGCAGCGCAATTAACCGGAGGTCGAGCCTCCTGGTCCATTCATAAAGCTCCTTTTCAAGATCGTGCACTTCATTCCGCCGTAGAGCCCAAGTAAGCCTATTGAACTCTTTGGACCGGCGATTCTGCGCCTCAAGCTTGGTTTTGCACAATTCCACACGCTTCAACAGTGGACCAAGATAAGAAACACTGGCTTCCAGAAGCTGTTCATCCTCTCGGTTCAGACCCAGGCTGCTGATTCGCTGTTCTGCGAAGTAGTCATAGAAGTGCTGAAGAATGCGGGCATCGTATTTGAAGCGAGCGGCTAGCGACTGAGACTCCTTGTTGTAGGCGGCGGCGGATTCCAAAGTTTTCCAAATAATTTCGCAGCAGAGGGCAGCTGTATTAAATGTGTCCATCTGGGCAAGGTTGATAAATGCGCAAAGAATGAATGAGGGAAGGACTGATAGGAAGCAGAGACTTGAACGGAGAAATTGGGGGAAACCCCTATACCCCCGCACGTGCACCTCTAAGCCTCAATTAGGAAGATACGGAGCCACCCGGCCAAGAGTTTGCTCAACCTCCGATCCTTCACACTTCCCACCTCGCCCATAACCCCCAGAGATACACAGAGTCGCTGTGAACATTGAAGCAACGGAAAAATGGGATCTGAGGGATTTGAGCTGGTCGATTTAGAATCATTCGAGTCGGGGTCTGTCGACTCCAGCTACTCGTTTGTGGGACTGAGTTTAGGCACAGCGAGCGAAGAGTCTGACCATCCAGAAAGAAATGGGGCATCTGGCGGAATTAGCGTTGAGCAGTTCTTTGAACATTGCTTCGACTCCGGAGTCAGGGTGTATCCAGAAAGCAAGTTCACAAAGGGTCCGTTTCTCGGATCTGGTGCTACGATGGCCGTGTATGAAGGCACCTGGAAAGAGACGGGAAGTCCAGTAGCCCTAAAGTAAGTTATATGGCGATAGGTATCATTTTCAGGTAGCTCACAAGTTGCGCAAAATCTAGATACTTCAAAAATGCACTGTCGGTCAGTGGGAACATCGCTCAGTCCTCCACAAATGAGCATCGCCGCTTGTTAGAGGCCGGTATGCTCGAGCTGCGGGTCTTGTCAGATACTCGTGCGAGAAGCCATGAAAATATTGTCACTCTTCAGGCTGTGTCGTGGACTCTGCACGACGGTTTAATCTACCCGATTCTCATCACAGAGTTGGCATGCAAAGAGCATCCGACTTTGGCAAGCCTAATCAAAGACATCTCGCTTCCTTTGGATGCTCGGTACGAATTAATTCGAGATGTGGTGGAGGGACTACTACTCATCCACGACCGGAAAGTGGTGTATGGGGACATGAAGCCAGAAAACATTCTCATATTTTTATCACAATCATCTACATCACGTTTGACGGCAAAGCTGTCCGACTTCGGATTCTGTCAGGCGACCAGTACTTCTCGGCTCGAGGCTGGGGGAACACTGTATTGGAATGCCCCCGAATGCTTGCACGAAGCTCCAACAGACCTGAAGGAACATGCATACACGACCAGTCGAGATATATACACACTGGGATTGTTGATTGCTTATATACTAACGGGGGAAAGACCATTTGGAGCACTCGGCAACGAAGGAATTACGGAAATGAAATTGAAAAACCAAGTATCCAAGTTGGTATCCTCAAAGATCGGGAACATCATGGATGCTCCAAATTCAGGGACAAATCTGTTGCCCCAGAAGCTACTAGAGATTGTCTCACTAACAGCCGTGGTAAACCCAAGAGATAGACCGTCGTTGCGGGGAATTCTCGAGGCATTACTGTAAGTGTGCAGCATTCCCAGTTTTCCAACCAACTTTCTTATTCCGAACAGCCCGCACACCCAGAGGAGGGAACCACTCCCAGAAGTGCGCCATAAATGGCGTGTCGAAGGATCCATTCTCGCAACCCGGTTTTCCAGATTAGCATCTGGTATAGGGAGTTGGAGCGCCGAGCCACAGCTCGATACATCGACCCCACCAGAACTGCGACAGCAACTTTATGAGCATGTGTTGAATGTGGCCAGCCATGGGGGCCCAGTGGACCAAGTCAAAGCGATGGACCGCCTAGGAATGTTTTTTCTCAATGCCTTTGGAACACCTAAGAGTATCCAGAATGCTTTCATGTGGTTTTGCCGAGCTGCCGATAATGGGTCTGTTAGAGGGATGGAGATGATGTTTCGACTAGAGAAAGCAACGAAGGATACCCCCATGCCCCTGGTCGCAAGCATAACGACGGAAACCCGGGCACAATGGACAATGACATGTTTACTGGGATCCCTCACGTCCTCTTATAATCCTCGACTATGTCCAGAGTCTGTGGATATCAACGATATCAACTCGCGCGTGAACCAAGTGCTGAAATCCATAACCCCAACTGTGCTCTTGGACGCACTGCAAGACGACATCGAGGCAAATATTATAATGTTGCAACTCCAGAACGACAAGAATTCAATAGTTGCGGAAAAGACGCTACAACAGATCGAAAAGCTCTCGCAGGGCTCCTATCACCTCCAGTGCATACTGGATGCAGTTTGTGACGACGACGAAGAGACCTTGGATCGTATACTCCAGCGAAAGGAACCTCTCCCGCCAGGCTTCCTTAACCTTTTAGTGACCCTGTCGGCAGATAGAAATCGCAGAAGTGCTCTTAGGAGTCTTATTTTGAAACATGGAGCAGACCCCGACACCATCGATACACATAGTGGACGAGAGACCACCAGTCTAGTAGACGCAGTCTTGCGCGATGACTATGGCATGACAGTGATCTTGATGAACTGTGGTGCAGATACGAGCTGCCTGATGGGTCGTCGGATAATGGAATTCGTCATTCAAAGGGGTACTCCAATTATGATGCGGCTTTTCCTGACACACTGGCTCTCTATCGAGATCAAGTCTGACAATGGCAATCTCCAAGATACCTCTAGTATTTGTCACCAATTTCTAGATGGAATCTACCCTTCAGCGACCGTGATGTACAATCAGACAGGAGTTCCTCCCGACTCTAACCAATTACCACCTCTGTTCCACGCCGTTGCCTTTAACCTCCTTAACCAGCTACAGGTGCTTCTGATAAACGGAGCAGACCCTAATATTCGCTTCAATGGAATCTCTCCCATTCACGTTGCTGTCAGGATGTTACGCCCCACAGCCTTACTTCTTTTGTTGGAGTTTGGAGCCAATCCAAATTCACGCAACTCGCGAGAGGGTTATACAACGCCTTTGCACGCCCTTTCGCAAGATTTCATGTGCGTTCCACCGAGGATTTTCGAAAGAACGAACCAAAGCGTCGATTTCCTTGGTAGACGATGGCAAACGGACAAACACGGCCAGGGAGAGCTGATGCAACGGAGATCTGTGATAACCCATCTGCTCTTGAAGTACGGTGCAGATCCAGCAGCTTGTTGCATTGATGGATTCACCCCATTAATGACGTCTATGATCAGTCCTGTTCCTGATTCTGACTCGGTTTTCGCGTTGCTCGTCCAGGGCGGTATAACCCTTACTGATCGTACAACACGCGGCGAGACGATTTTGCATATTGCTGCGCGAATCAAAGATGTTTCTTGGCTTCAAAGGATTGTATCTATTGCTGGTCCGCAGCTAATCAACTGCCGGGACAATCTGCTCTCGACTCCATTATTCCTTGCAGCGCAGGATGGAGATTCCCCGGGGGCGCTCGAAATTCTCCTTTCCAATGGCGCTGACGTCAGTCTTCGGGGGATGCTGAATCTCTCCAGTCTTGACATTGCGGTCTTGGAGGGAAACGGGGGTAGTGTCGATGTCCTGTTGGACCACATCACAAAGCTTCCAACCGGCGAGCGGCGCCGGCTACTCACCGCACGAGATACCTGGGGAAGGACTTCTATTCACATATGTCTAGCCTCGAATGACTTTGAACTAGCATGCAATTACATCCGCCGAATTCTCAGGCTTGAGCGGTATTTCTCCTATCATTTACTCACGTCCCATGATTACTTTGAAGCTACCCCCATCGATTACGCTTGCAAAGTTGGAAATGAAGCAGCCTTAAGGGTGATTGCACAAAACATTGTTCCAAAAAGCCTTGGTCCTGTTCGCGTTGAAATACTGCCTCCATGGCGGAACCATGAATGCAAACCAGACGAGGATCCGGTGTTATCTTCGTTTAAAGTTTATCAATCATTGCAAAAGGTCTTGAACGAACCAAGTCACAAAGACATTGCCAGATGTTATGATGCATCTGAATTCAGTCTGCCAGACAAGGAATTGTCAGCCGTGGAAGAGGAATGGGAAAGTTTTCTCAGAGACTGGCAAAGAGAGGACGGAGGCCAAAGCAAAAGAGTTCTCCTGTGTATGAACTATCTCGGAACAGTAACTGAGCGACATGGGCGGTTAAAGAAAGCCCAAGGCCTTTATTATAAAGGATGGACCCTTGCGCGACCCCTATTGGGTGACCAGAGCGTTGTCACTCAAGATTTTGCATGCAAATTTCTTCGTGTCTCCCAGGATAGGGGAGTTCACGAAACTGTCAGCGCAGATATCGCAAAGTGGCATAAGCTTCACGGACACAATACACTCAAACCAAGTTATTTCGAGTTCTGCCTTAACCCAGAAGAGGTGGAAGAAATAGCTTCGAAGTTCAAGGCTCACGACATCCAGGATAAGGCGTCACGACAATGTGATCGATTGAAATGTGGCAAGAGAGCCAATTTTGCTTGCCCAGGTAGGTACATGACAGCTATCACGGTCTGCTCGGTACTGCATATTATTGAACTCACAATTTCTAGGTTGCAGCTATGTACACTATTGCTCCGAGGCATGCCGTGTCGCGGACATGACTGACCAAAATGTTCAACACCACTTAGCCTGCATTCGCGCGGAACCTATATCATCTTCTCTGGCACTTAAATTCATTCCACACAGCCCTGTGCAAAGTGGGAACCGTTCCCTTGCGCAGAATCTTTGGAATAGGTTCCGGAAACTGAGGCCTCGAGCACCGGAAACTTTACCCCCATTGAGAAACTTCTTTACAATTGCGCTGGGCGACGAAGAGGAGCTTACAACACCGGTTTACGCCCCATTAGAACAGAATCTCCTCATCTATTGGAGAGAATCGGCACACGAGGTTCGGTACTCTATGCACCAAAATAGTCACTGGTTTCCTTGCACATTTGGAAGAATGTTTACCTCATATGCAGCTGGGTCTCTGTGCATACGACCTGTCAGTGGTAAGCATCGGCCCTCGGACAAATTATACAGGAGTTTGAGGTTGGGATGGGGGCTTGTAGTGGACTATAACCTCATCGAAACTGATCCAACTTACTCGGGCTAAGGACAAACGAGTAAACAGAGCCTTCGTGTACAAAACTCAAAAATTCATACAATAGGGCGAGTCTAGGGTGTCTGGGCAATATATAAGTTGGAACAGAGTGAGAATAGAGTGTGAAATGATCATCGATAATTGCATCAGCTTTCGCGGCTGAAGTCACTGAATTGGAAACTTCTTGTTCCAGCTGCAATTGTCCCTTTTTCTACTGAATCATTGAGTGTAAGGGTAAGTCTGATCTGATATGGATTGTGTAGGGTTATTCGTTAGAGCTGATTTTGGTACAAATCGGCGTGATGCTTCGCATATAGAAGTGTTTTATTTTATTTTTAACAGCCTGGGTAATCTCCAACTGTACTATGGCATGGTAAATGGTTAAATTGAGTATAAATCCACGAAATGTGGGTATGCTAGCTCACTTGCGTAAGACTGCTCCAACCTCAAGTTCTACTGTACATGACTTTTAGCATGGACAAAGTAGATTATAGACTTCTAACCCATATGCAACTTTGGACCAAAGCTAACGCATTTTGTGGGATTAATGTGTCTTTGTCAAGACAAGCGCTAAACCAGAACGGTCGAACTCCATAGAGTAGATAAGTGGCCCCTAAACTAGGCGACCTTTTAATACCGCTATATAAGAGTAAATATAGATAAGTGATAACTACTCTCCAACTCTTAGATACTATAACATATCTGCATTTTTAAATAAAAAAATTGTAGTATAATTGTGCATGCACCTGTTGTGGTGGGGAATTGGTGCTTCGGGCATCAACCCCTCATATCCAGGCATTAGACCCTCCGCTATGTTCGCAAATGAGTGAGGCTTTGGGTCCAAGTATATAAGGAAAAGGGGATTACAGCTACAGCCGCAGCCTACTTTGTACAAATCAGGGCTGTGTGCAGATGCCAAGAGACTAACTGCACCAGATGGGAGTTCGTGGCCCAATGGTGTTCTAGTCTAGCTCGGCTGAGGTTATCCCCCGAGTATTCTGCTTCATCTAATTAAAAAACCCCCCATTAAAGCACTATTCTCCTAGAAAACACCAAAATATGCTGCCATGAGTGAAATTAGTTGCCAATCATGCCCAAGCCTGGTAGTGTCACAGTGGAAACAAGGTTGGGTTTCTTATTTAAGCTCGGAAGATCAAGCTGACTGATGCCTTAGGGGGAACTTGGCGAACGAGTCAAGCTTATCCTAGAGATCTCCAGGGCCCAAATCATATTTCCAGCCTCTTAGCCACTTTTGAGGGAAGTCAAATATGTGTCATGTTAGTCGAGTCACAGTTCCGTATACTCTACACTCCTAATGCCAACAGATTCGCAAGCGCAAACAATATTCGTACATGCCAGCGATGCCGTAATGCTTTTATACAAGCATTTCAGATGCCCGAGAGATGGTGGTCTGATTCCTTCAAGAAGTCCAATGGATATTTTGGTTGTGAAACGACCCGCCAAGAGATTGTTACAGGCTTCAGTAAGCAACATCTACCCGAACAGTATGGTTCTCTAACAATTATATTATAGATACATGGGCATACTTTGAGACGAAATACACCCGAAGCAATGTCCATTACGAGTGGACCAAGCTAAACATCTTCACTAGATGGCTTTCTTCCACTAAACAAACATTCCTGCTTCTTTTCGATCCGACACTGCCCCTCCGGGAATCAATACTCCAGTCGTTGTCGAAAACAACTATTTCTCAGTTGAATGTTCCATTCTGGCCTTACCCGTATGTGCTAGAGGTATTAATTAGTCTTGAAGAACCCGCTGTTTGGGCTATCCGGGACCAAGTGAGGGAGATTGAAAAGGAGTTCAATCCAAGCAAAGCCCCACGACCTGCATACCGGAGACTGCACGACATCGCCAGACACGCTATACATGTTAGCGAGAACCTAGACGTCTCGGTACAGAATATAGAGACTATTCTGAAGCACTACGATTTCTACATCGTATCTCAAGGGAGCGATTCGTACTTTGGCGCAGACGAAGACATCCGCAATCAGATCGATTTTTTCCGAGGTTATACCGCCAATCTACGCTTCCGTTCAATCTCCAACGAGAAACGACTCCAGAACGAGATCCAGCTAGCGTTCAATACTGTCGCGCAGGCCAATGCGGGAACCTCGGTGGAAATAGGCCGTGCCGCACAGATTGACAATTCAACCATGAAGACGATCGCGTTTGTCACCTTGGCCTTTCTCCCGCCTACCTTCATCTCGTCTATCTTCAGTATGTCTTTCTTTCAATGTGGGCCGGACGATGGCTGGGGCATGTCAGACAAGTTTTGGCTTTATTGGGTGTTTGCCATCCCAACAACCATTGGTACAATTCTAGTTTGGCAATACTGGCATAAGATCCTCCCCGGTGTGCATCATCGCAAGCCAGTGGTGATTCCTATGTTCAAGGAGCATGCATAAGACTTCTCTTAAATGGCCAAAAGATTGTACTCCTTCGATCCATATATAGTTTCCACCACTGCCTACTAGTTTCTTGGGTAATATAAGCTGTTGACAATTGACACTGTATCGCAATATCTTTTTTTCCAGCCAATTTATTGACTTTCAGGGCCCTTGGCCTTGGCACCAGGGAAGCGAGATCCCCTATCCTTGACCTTCTTCTGCTTCTTTTCGACAACGGGAGGCGGGTAAGCCTTTGAGGTGATCTCCTGCCATTCTGCATCGGCTTGGTAAGCGGCCTGTATCGGTGCCATAAGATCGGCAAGACCGGCCGAGACAGCAGGTTTAAGAAGTTGCGGCGTTAACTATTTGCGTTAGTTGATGAGTCCTCGAATACGAAACGGACAAAGCATACAATATCGTTTTGGTAGTCTTCTTTAAGTTGCTTGATGTCAACGTAGATCAGTGGATCCTGATCTTTTCGCTCGACTTGGAACTCCTTTCGGCCCTTAAGAGCGGCTGCAGGCAGTAGAACATATTCAACTAGAGCAATAACTCCGTTGTCTTCGATGATTTTTGGGGCTGCTTCTGCCTTCCGGATCTTCTTCGAGATGCTTTCGGCTGGGTCTAGAAGATCAATCTTGCTATCTGTTTTATGTTAGTGTCGATAGTCAACCTCAGATCGAAGTAAGATTCACCTTCAATACTAGAACTCATTTTAGCACCCTTCAATCCACTAATCATGGGATTGATAAGATGTGCGCGCTAGACAGTATTTGTTAGCCTCTGAGAAACTTTTGTATAGATTAGTACCAGTCATACCTTCCGGTAACCTAATTTTGGTAGCCATTCAATGGCTGCCGTGAAGAGCTTTCTCTGGTCCATGCCTCCGAGCTGACAATCAACGTTCAGATGCTCTTCGTCTAGTACCTGGAGGATAGGGTACAGGAGACCACTCAGAGGAGCATTGCTAGTCTGCTTAACAATTTCTGCTCCAGCCCGTTTCGCATCGGTTTCCGAAACCAAGCTTGCCATACGGTACACATCCATGACATATTCGGGGCTTTTTTGGTAGGAGCTACCGAGGACGAACTCCAGCTTATCAGTTGAAACACCGACAGACTGAAGGATAGCCGTAATAATCTTGCTGTAGTATTTGGCACGATTCTCCACAAGTTCGAGGGGTGCCTTCAAGTTATCGAGGAAGCTGTGAATATCGGCCAGCAGAACGACGACATCGCAAGACGCGCGAAGTAATTGGGCGATTTTGAGTGCAGCAAGGAAGTATCCCACATGTGGTCTTCCTGTGGTAGCGGTTCCTGGAGAGGGAAAGAAACTTTAGCTCAATCAAGTCAAAGTAGTGCCACCCACATCTGGGACTCTTCGCAGTGACTCACCCCAGTAGATACGTGGGTTGCGGCCCTCTTTTAGGATGGTTTCAATCAATTCTGGGTTCAGAACCTCAGCGAGGTTGTCGCTGATGAGATCAAACCGCGCTTTTGCTGCTGCGTCCATTGTGGCATCCATTTTGAGCAAAGAAGACAAAATAAGGTGTGAAGAGAGGGAAGGGTGAGTGGGATAGATTTGTTCCAAAGGAGTCGGGTAGTATTGGCAGAAAACCTTGCCCCTCGTTTCCCGAAGGATGGATGCCAGGGGTCGAATGCCTGACAAATTGATGCCTGATTCTGGCCTGATTCTGGCCTGATTACTAAATTTCCCGATATTCCAAATTTGGAAAGGGAAATGCTTTATGTACATAAATATGAGGATATCCCACTTGAACAGTTCTTAGCCTTTTGAATATGTAGAGATCGTCCGGATGACTGGACGCCTGGTATTCTCAGAATCAAAAACCTGAGCATGATCCAATTGCTCAAACCACAGCAGCTCAAGTCCGTACCCGGTCCAGGGCCTGATTTTCCACACCTTTTTGTCAACTGTTTCTGATGAACCCATCAAGTACTGCCCCACTGTTTCGGTGTCCACAATCAAATCCTTACCACTTAAAACAACTGTCACATTTCTACCCTTTTGGATTTCTGTCTTCACCCCAAGGTCCTCCTTCCAAATGATGTTGTCAACCCACGAGAATCTTCTGGCCAACGTATGCGCAACTCCAATGTCTTTACTTCCGAAATACCATAGCTGGTATTCATTGGCTCGTGCTGGCTGGCGGGCTATGAAGTTATATGCCACGTCAGGCAGGTGGAGAAGGAATGAGACCGGATCGATGAAGACCGTAGGCCCGATGAGCGAAGCAAACTGATCGGACTTGAGAAGGTGTGCAGCGATTATGGAACCATAAGAATGAGAAACAAGCACGAACTTGCTCCATCCGTGATACCGTATGATCTCCTGGATCTCATAGAGCATCACTTCTTTGTCGAGAGCAGGACAAGTTATCCGAGAGCTCACCGGCATTATCTCAAGTGCGATTATGCCGACCTCACCATCGGTTGCATCCGTCTCTAGTTGCTTGTTCAGGTCTCGGAGGAAGCTTGTGTAAGGGTACAGGCCAATCCCGATACCATGTATGAAGAGTACGGGTAGTCGTTTCTTGGATGTATGCCGTCGATGCCAGTATGTAAGATGCCGCGCTGGTGATCGGTAGGTCGTGAGTATCGTAAGAGGGCGAAATGGAAAAACAGTAAAGAATCGCGAGAGCGAATTGCGATAGAAGTGGAATCCATTGTATAACATCTTGCAGTACGTTATTGTGTCAACCACAAAGACGCACTAAGCGAATTAGAATGTCAATTTGAAAGGGCTTTATCACAAATAGAGAGATAGAGATAACTAACACTATACCATAGCAGACTTCGATGCGAACCGCCTGCTTCGTTCAAAAGCCGTCCTAGGCCTTTCACATCCATCCTTCCCCGTGAAAACTTTCGTCCCATCAGCTTCTCAATTTCTGTTGTGTAGGCCTCGATTTCCTCCTCATCCTGCTGGTCTTGCTCCCGGGTATGTTCAGGTCCGAATAATGACCATCTGATAAAGTCTTTCACGTTATCGCGCTTTATACATTCAGCTTTTGAGACCATAAGCCACTGGCTGAGGTATTTCTCCAGATTTGGCACATTCTTATTGCAGTTTCTGAACAAATTCTCTCTGAACTCCGCAGGCAAAGATCTGTGGTAGATAGAAGAATGGCGGAGAGCGTATTTAAGTGGTATGTAGACAATTGTGAAGAATGCTGCCTCTGCAATGAGCCAAATGTGGACAACGTAGGGTATGTGTTCGAGATAAGTTGGCCGATGAGAGAGTTGGGCGACTATTAATTGAATGATGTATAAAGTACTGATTGGTGCGATATTGTGAAGAAAGAGGATGCAAATCCGAATAAAGAAATACTCAGCAGTGGATGTTCCAATCATGATAACCTAGATAATAGATAATAGACAGAGAAAAAAAAAAACAGATATCGAGAAAATTATATAAGTTTGAATTGTTGAAATGGCCCAACAAATTTTGATTAGATCTTTAAGATTGTTGAATTTAGCAAAAAGATATACTGACCTCGAGACAGGCGTGTATGACGTAATATAAGGTTGAGAATAGAGACACCAGACACCGCTTTTGTTTAAGATCCCAAAAAAAATATCAAACGCCTACAGGATAACAAGCTTCTTCCAAGAGGGTTTGATCAATTGATCCCTTATATAGAGCTTTAGGAACCTGTTAAAACATCGCAGATAGAAAGAATATTAGGGTTAAAGTGTCACGAGGTGAGGTCCCCACTTTTAAATATGGCTCTAGCTTATTTCTAATGTTAGTTTATCTATAACTAAATATCTCTGCTCGATCCATGATAAATGGTTAAAGATAGCCCGCGAACATCCCTTAGTTATTGATTTAATTTCTGTACGGCTTATGGAGGGCCTTATTCCCGAGTATTCACAGAATGATAGCGACCGTATTTTGAGGCTTATAGAATCTAGGAAAATCTTTCCTCCCCACCATCAGCAAAGGATCGATGCCCGATGTTAACTGGGTAAAAGAAGGTTGTGGCAGCAGATGTGGCAAGGGCGGCTTGGCATATCGTTGCACGGATGTTTGGCTCATGAGGGAGGCTGTAGCTTCGCAGGCGAACAATGTCCTTTGTATAGTGGTCGGCGGTGCAAACGAAACTGGTCAGGTTAGAGACACCTCCCCGGTATGAGGATCAACTTAAGTCCTGCATCCACGTGCAGTGCCATCTTTGGAACCGGTGTCATCGTAGAAAGGATCCTGCTCAGATGCACCACTGTCCTCGGTAACCTTTTGGATCGCCCTCTCCAACTTTTCCGAGTCGAACTTGGCTGTGATATCACCCTTGAAGTTGGTGGGGATTGAGCGTAGCTTCTTACCAAACACTGCTGCTGCGAGATGCGAGATCGCTATAAGCGGTAATACATGTATCGACATCTATCTCCAGTCGGCCGAGCATGATTGCGATAAGGCTTGCTAATAGTCGGCGTGTCAAATAAAAGATAGCAGGCACTTGGAGGTTTACTCACCCACCGGTGCTTGTGCCCCCAATAGCCCCACCTATCTCACCGCCACTGGATATTTATACCGCCTACCTAAAACGCGCAGTATAGAACACGCTAAAATAGTACGCGAATCTGCATTTTTGTCAAAAATCTAGGATTAATCTCTTTAAAACTACCCCTTTTTACTTCTTATACCCCCTCTCACTATGGTGGCACGGTCTAAAGATCTTACACCTGCTATACGTGAGCGTATATGCGAGCTCCATTCCATTGGATGGGGGTATAAGCGTATTCATACCCGCTATCCTGCTATCCCTCTCTCTATAATTCGATACACCGTGAAAAAGGAGAGCGAGTGACGAGAAGGCATGTCGAAACCACGATCTGGAAGGCCAAAAAAGCTTACTAAGGCCGATAAAGACTGTCTCTTAAACACTATACACGGAGACCCGAAGATCACCGCTGAAGATATGCTTACTGAGGTTAACCATAAGGTTAAATACCGCTCAATTCAGCGTCTCTTAAACGCTGAGAATATGCGTAAGTGGCGATGTAGCTGGCCTCCTTTTCTAAAGGAGGAACACGCGCTAAAACGCCTTCAGTGGGCATACCGCTACCGCCACTTCACGCCTAAGGATTAGGCCCGGGTCTTTTAGTCTGATGAGTGTACTATTAAGCGTGGTATTAGTGTCCGTCGAGAATGGACTTTTATCCATCCGAAAGTCCAGCCGAGAGAGGTATAATGTTAAGGATTACCACACCGAGGGAAGTAAAGCAGATGTTTTAGGCTGCATTTTCTGGCGCTACCCGGCGTACGGGGCTTATCCCGCTCTTTAGAGACCCTAATGCTGAGCGTACTGGTATCACTGGCTTAGTTATTAAAGATTTATACCGACGGATCCTACCTATCTTAGTTATAAATCAGGATAGCATTTTTCAGCATGATAATGCTCCGACACATACCGCGTACGTCGTACGGGATGCTTTAGCTGAGATGTAAATTAAGGTTATGGAATGGCCTCCTCATTCGCCTGATTTAAACCCAATTAAGAACCTCTGGGCGTTACTAAAAGCTAAGATCTACGAGCTTCGACCTGATCTCTTACATATAGGGAATAATGACACGATAAAGGAGATACTGGTGGCGACAGCGCAGCGGGCATGGGACGAATTAGAGCTATGCCACTTGAAGCATCTCTCTGAGACGATGCCGCACCGTGTAGAAGCTATTATTGAGAGCCAGGGATGGTATACGCCGTACTAGCTTCCATAGTATGAATTCATTGAAGTTTTGACCGGCAGTATATTACATAATCAAGGGGGTGTGGGCCCTAGGGGTGCAAGAACTTATGTCCACTGACTGTATGTCTGGTGGTATGCTTGGCGTAGCATATATTACCTGTGTATTGTACCGTGTATGCAGACCTATATGACATTCAGGCGTAAGTTCAGACATTCAGGCCTCAATTTAGTGAAAACGGCCCTGCGTGCTATGCCCCGTCGTAATTATTCTTAAGGCTACTTTACCAATTAGGTACATACTTCCCGACGGGGAAATACTAACGCAAGAGTTGTTTAGCGCAGCCTTCACCTCATTTACTGAGTCATTATGGCTTTAGCGTGGGGGCCGTTTTTAAGACATTTAAGAAATCCTTAGGACGTAGGTCCACGAGGAAATCAACTTCAGATCAAAACATCCCACTTCGAAGTTCACTCGAAAGAATAACTTGAATATGGCATCTTTCATGAATTTACCCACCGAACTGCGTCAGATTATTATCCAGCACGTTCTCTACAGTCGACGAAAATCATCAACTCCCTCAAAATCAAACGGGATCCAGGTGGAAGACTTCGGGCCGGTAGCCGAGAACTGGCAGCGAGGTGGATGTGGTGTCTACTATGAGGGAGACGAGCACGTTCCAAATTGTCTACCACTTCTCTTAATAAATCGGCAAATCTCCGCCGAAACCAAAGCTGTTCTCGATTGCATGAAAATCGATTACATTGTCGAAATACCCGTTCTAAATGATATGGATATGTTCCCAACTTGGATCTCAATTCCTTGCCTCTCAAAAAGTATAGATCATCTGCGCACGGAGGTACGCCTTTTCGGACATGTCATCACGACGCCTTTAGCGCGTCGCCAAGGAGGAGATGGCGGGAGTACGGGGATTCACTTTGCTTTTCATCAAGTCTTGCAAAGGTTCCTAATGTACGGTCCCGTTGGCGAGCAAAAGGGCCAAAACAATGACTATGAAAACAAAAATATCTCAGTCCGGGTGCTTGATTTCAATGTCACATCTGCCGAGAAAGAATATCCATCCCCACCGAATGAATTTCACTGGGGGCACTATCTTCAGCAGCTTCGTGGTCATGGCAAACTTGACGATCGAGGAGCTACAAGTGTGGATGGCGAGGAGAGGCTTTGTTGGACTGTTATCCCGAAATACAAAAACCGACCCGAGTGGATGGCTCGTTGGGTTTGCCAGTGGATCGGAAGGATTCTAGGAAGGGATTCTTATGGTGAAATATATGGAAACATGATATATGAGAATGTGGGGACATTGAGGGTCTTGGCTGATGGAAGGCTAATTAAAGAATTTGACCTTTCAGATTGTCCTAAAGTCGCGGTGGCTAGGAGAGAAGCGTTGGGGTTTCCATTAAAGGTAGAGCCATTGCCCTAGTAAGAGAAACAAGACTCGGAGTACTAGCGAATATATCGTGGATGTACTAGCGTGAGCCACTGCATAGTGTTCAGCGCCCGGCTCCATCCTTAGTAAATATTGGAACCTGTCATAGGCAGAATACAAATAAAATGGGACTTTTATACTCCAAATGCTCTCTACTCCAGCAGACTACTCTTGAAGAACTAGTACCTGGAGCCTGATTTGTCTATTTGCTCGTAACGTGGGTCGGCTTCATCATCCCAGGTCGAATCTACTAGTTATTAGTTACCTACAGCAATCGCATTATTGAATCAGTATTTTACCGATGACCTACAAGATTTTATTTTCGCAGCTCCGACTAGTTACTCATTAAAATGTATGGACCAGTAAAAGAGCGATGGGAAGGACTCCTTGGAACCACTAGGAAGAACCACTGGGAAGCAAATGGATAAAATAAACTAAAAAACGGAATTCATTGTACTCGTCTGATATCTTTAGGCATGTGACATGAATTGCCACTAGATTCCAAGGTTGCCCTCGAAAACAGCCTTGCACGAGGGCAAGTAGCAAATATGCCTCGCCACAAATTATTATTGCTACAACGTTCCAAGGTTGATCAATGAGTCAACTTCGTAAACCGTTTAATCACATTATAAAGTAATCATACCTGAGTCGTTTGACCGTTAAACAATATCCAGTTTTAAACAGCCCCCCGTATTTTCATGTCATCATTACCCACGGAGTAGACGCAAAGCTGAAATTTGCCACTAAGCTGAAAATACTCCACACCATATATAGGTTATCAAAGTGTTTTTGTTTAAACACTTTTCTTTAAACACTTATAACAATATCAAAACGTCAAATCATATTAATCATGTCTTTCCACCACAGTGCATGTGATATTCGTCTGAGAGACGAGCCCGGTTGCACTTTTTTGTCTGCGATTTGCAACAATGATGAGGGTAGTGGTCTTACCGACAATATCCCTCTCGATGAATGTCTCGGAAATGAAAATGGTGAGACAAGTTAGTTGTAGATCATATTATACTTGACCAACCGTCTTCTTTTAGGCCATTTCAGTTGGGGCGGGAGAAATTTCAGCCACGATGCACGGAATGTCACCCTTATAGCCCAGGGACCAGATAAAACGCCTGTCCTTCATTCTGATCTCCGGAACTCCTCTGGTGATTTTGTACCCAGCGAAATTGATCTAGCTACACACATAGCCAACATCGACGGCCAGCTTGTTTACTTATGCTAAATGTCCGCCTGAGAATGGGAAACTATCATGAGTTAGCTACCAACCTCACGTTATATTGTCAAAAGCCAATCAAGTCATTAATTGAATTAGTTTAGCCAAGGCTTTTTCATATTCTATTGCCTGATATAAAATAATGGCTCCTAGACAGGTCCTAGCCGAGGGGTTTGACTGGAACAGCTTTGTTCATGAAGTTTTCGTTTGATCGGATTAGGACAAGCGCCGCTATTCGTATTTCTGAAATTTATGCCGTGTTCGATCTGATCATGGAATTGATTCAAACCGACCATATTGCCTCCGACATACAGAGAGCAAGAGTTACTTCTGATCTTATTACTATCGAGGCCTCGATTGAGCATCTGTTGGATCTCAGATGACCTGAGGTATAAGCAGAATAACTTCCAACCCCTCTGTCCCTGAACAGTACACCACTCGATTGGGGTGTTTTAAATACTCCAGTTTTTAGCTACAGCTGGCTGGAGTAGAAAGCCATGCGCGGCAAGTCTTGAAATTTGCACTGTGATCCTGGTCACGTTCTTGATGCAAAAAAAAAAAAAAAACACTTAATCTCCTTGTGCTACATCTCTGTTCCATCCTCAAATATATATATTTTCACCCGACGAGACCACCTCAAACATAGTCAACAAAGTTTGATAATTTCGAAAGTTGTTCATGTGCTGGTGAATTCAGCAGGCGAGATGATCAAATGTTTGTGCGCATTGAAGTGATAACTGATTTATATATCAAGTCCCTACAGAGGGTAGCTGGAGATGTAATGCAGGCGCGTAGATGGAATAGTCTCTATTTAGAAGTAATCGGACTAATCTATTCTTTCCTCTAATACAAATCACCATGTCATGTTCCTGAAACTAGTCACAGCAAGAAATGTCTTACAAAATCTTGACGGACTTGCCCGGTGAGAGCCAGCGGACCTTGTCAAATATCCCCTCTTCTTTGAAAACTTCCATCAGATCCTGACCGAATTGAGTGAAATGACCCCATGACTCGTAGTGCATAGGTATGAGGAAGTCCGCCTTGATAGTACGGAAGAGATGAGAAGCCTGCTTGCCATCCATGGTAATTTGGAGCAGTCCATCAGGAAGAGCAGCATGAGCGGAACCTAAGTTCATGACAGCAGCAACGATGTGGAATTTCTCAGGGATTTTGGCGAGTTCATCGATATAGACGGTATCGCCGGTGAAATAGATCGCATTAGGGCGACCGTCAGCGCTGATGCCAAAGTCCGTTGTAGTCAAGATGAACCCGATACATTCGCCTCCAGGTAAATGTTGGCATGGCGTAGCAGTGATGTCATATTTTTGACCTCCCAGCATCACAGAAACGGTTTCCCATGGCTTCATGCCACGAACGGCCGGGCGAGGACTGAGGTTCTTTCCGCCGTCCACAGTAGTGAACACATGACGACCATTTAGCAGTTGGCGACCAAAGCTGTCCAGGTTATCAGGATGGTCTTCGTGGCTAAGGAGAATAGCGTCGATGGCGGGTAAGTCTTCGAGACTAAGGGCAGGGGTTTCGGTATTCTCCAGAACATTGCCACCGCCCATATCCCATTTTGTGCCGGCTGGAGAGAAAAACGGATCGGTAAGAAATTTGACATTGTCGATCTCAAAGATCGCCGTGGCGGTGCCAATGTGCGTGACACTGAAGGAACTCTGGAAGGTCGGGGCAGACATTGCGGTCCAAAGTGTATCTGGGTGTGTTTAAAATGTAGCTAGTAGACAGATCCAAGAGAATTGCAAAGAGTAGTTTGTCTGGACGGAGTGTGATCCAAGGACTGCTAAGGGAAAAGGAACATTTTATAACCATCTGAGTGAGTTGCCACTACAGTTTATGGCACCTTCAGAGGAGCGATTTCTAATTCGATGACAAATATGAGGACGGTGGGTAAATATCCGGCTTAAAATTGTAAATAGGATATTGAGTCTTTCTTCAAATCGCGCGTAGGACTAAATTAAGCTATGAATATCATTTCCGCTTTTGGTTTCTATTACCGCCAAGACGAGCCAAAAACGCGGGTTCCGTTAACTTTCCGGATTTACAAATGGCCCTAGTTGTCTTGGCGGCTTATATTGCTGTTTTGGGCCAATTGAACCTTAAAAATATTTGGCATAAGCTTGGTAGTATCCAAATGGATTACTAAGGTTTAGACTTCAGAGAAATCCGAGAAATCCGAGCATATATCATCATCGTTGGATGCATCGAGTGTGTCATATACAGTGATACACGAAGGGCGCGTAAATAATGAAGAGAATGACTATTTCAGATATAACATAAATTCATCCTTACCTAAGCACCAAGAATACATGAGTGTCCTTAGCAATTTTGTCAAATACCGGAGCCATATACCTCGGTCGGTTACAGTACTAAAACCCCGGATCGGATACAAGGTAAATTTACCTTGGATCTCCATAAACGTCGGTTCCATACAACCGAACAAAGTGCAAGTGATTTTGTCTATTTTATACTCGCGCGTTCATCCTGTTTTATTGCTAGGCAGAGAGTTTGATATACTGAGTTCATACCATACATTTCCATACAGTCAGATTTCTGTCAAATTTCCCTGGAAGACTAGTTATTACGTAATGTGTTACCCACTTCCATAACTAATCAGTCCTGCAACTTTCAGCGAGGCAACCTTGAAGACCTGTTCGCCCTAGCATAATTCTCTCGCACCAGTAACACATTTACTCTATTAAGCGGCATATGACTTGCTGGTAAATTTTCCATTTGTGTGAACTTATTGTAGTTTCCCAAATCTGGGGTACCATGAAGGTCAAGAAACACTCAGTCTGCCAGACCTGCCGATCGAGGAAGATTGGGGTACGTGGGACCGTTACATGAGTTGCGGGAACGAAGCGGCTTACGCCACCTATAGTGTGATGGAAAAAACCCTGAATGCACCCAGTGTCATCTAACAGGACGAAAATGTCCTGGATACCCCGTTGAGTGGTCTTTCGTTGAGCAGAGCCGACCGGAGAGTTTTCAGGACAGAGGATCACAGTCGAAAGTCCAGGATCGAAACCTCCATGCTCGAGAACTTTCAAGATATGCTCCACCACTCAGGGACCAGCAACCCGGGCCATCCAACGAGTTTTATCTGCACAGACCAACAGCAACTCACGACCTTAAATTCGCCAACCTCATTGGCCTCATTATACGGAGCTATGTGCCTGACGAGGAGATACGCCCCAGCAGGAATATTTCCCATGAGCTGGCACCTCGCATATGTGGATCTTGGGTCGAAGTGCTTCCCGAACTAAATGAGTTGACTTGCAGCGATGTCGTCTCCACTGCCTTGACTGCTTTAGGTACTTCAATCATGTCCCAAAATCTCCCCGAGGATGCTCTCAGTATCGACAGCGCACGTAGCTACTTGGCAGCTATTCAGACGATGCAAAAAGCACTCGGTGCAGCCGAAAATCACTCGGATCGAGAACTCCTAGTATCGATCATGTGCCTCAGCTTGGCCGAGGTTAGTGCTGCAGTTCATTTCGCTTTGACCGGTACCCTTACTGACCATGCTAGATCATGTTTCCTGGGTCATCTGAAGGCTTAACAGCGCATACCAATGCTGTTGCGCAGATTCTCAAAGCCCATGGACCGGAGCGTTACCAAACAGGGATTCTGCATAAGTTGTTTATCGGCTTCCGTCCTTTATTAGTGAGAAGCACATCCAAATTGTGAGAAATCATCTGACGTTCTGTAGATGATAAAAGCCATTCAGGATCGGACGACGTCATTCCTGCATACAGTGGATTGGATCAGAGTCCCGTTCGCAAAATTCAGCCCATCCATAATGCAGAGGCTCCTTAGTCAGACTGCGGCAATTCCGACGCTCTTACGGCGAATGGATGAGATACAGGATCCACAGGTCATCATTGACGAAGTGTGCGTTGCCACACAGTTGTTCAGCGATGTCGGTGATATTCTCTACAACCTAGACGAATGGGAGGCATCTGTATCATCCCGTGCAACTCAGCCCCTTTACTGGTATCAAACCCATAAAAACGGATCTTGCGAAGCGCCAACGCCGAATTTACCTTGTATCTGGTTCCCTGGGATCACTATGGCCAACTCATTTACCTATGTTTGGTCATTTCGCATTATCTGTTTCCTTGAAATGGAACGACTAGCCTTATTATTCCCTCAATCAAGTCTCGAACATGCGAGGGTATTCGGCAAATGTGATGGCAGAAGCTTCCTAGGCAGTGTTCGGATCCTGATGACACGGATATGCCAAAGCATGGACTATCTCATTCAAGACAGAATGAAGCTTTTTGGACCCGCTTCCGCAGTGTTGCCTCTTCAGTTGTCCTATGCGGTTGGCAAATTAGATCCCGATGGACACCAAATTGAACTAAGAGTTCTCAGAGAGGTTATTGACCGGCTATGTCGCAAGGGACTTCGATCTTTTCCATCGCTTATCTTTGAAAGGAACCCTTTCTTGCACAGGTGGGATGATCTTTTGAATAGATACTCGTCAAATGGAACCAATTCTCCTTGACACGGAGGGAAATTATGGTAATTACGATGATGATGTAGTCATGCATGCGTTGCGGCAGCACACATCAGAATACGATTTGCATCCACCGACAGTGAATTCAACCATTATTGAGATTGAAGGCAGAGATACCAGAACAAATATCTACGATATTGGTTGGTGCACAGAAATAGACTCCGCTGAACATACCATAGGGGGTCAAAAGTATCTTCCCACTCCGCCCCCATACTATCACCCCAATAACCACCCACCATTTTATTTTTCTTCCTAAACCTCCCCTAGTCGCTCAATTATAATAGGATTTAGTCCCAGACATACAAAATTGGCTGAATTAAGCCCAGCACAAAGGTCATCTATTATATTTGGCCATAAAAATGGGATTTGGCAGTCAAAACTAGCTAATGATTTTAGTTATAGCCGCAGGACTATATAACTATAACACACTTAAAACGCTTCCAAAAGTACTAATCTATCAAATCTCTCCCCCGGAAAGGCCGTCCCCTAATCCTAAGCCGTCGATCTTGCCATTACCTCTTTCTTAGGCATCCGCACAACCTAACCGGGCCCAGACCCAACCCGGACCCAGTATAAACCCAGGCTAGGAAGGGTGGTAAAGAACGTTGACCATCCTAGGGCGGCCTAGAGGGTTTTATAACCACACACTAAAGGTTTATAGTGTCAAAATAGTACATTTCTTCAAGCAACATCCGATATGGTGTAAACGGCAATGACGGTGGAATGGTCACCACATGGCGTGGTCTGGAATCGCAAAGTCATGGTAATTCCACCATCATATCCAACTACTTGTATATATAATTTGTCAGCATTGACAATACTAATTTTGGACTTGGTGTTAGTGTTCACCATGATGTCAGTTTATGGCCATGAAGCATTCACTATGAGATCGATTATGAAAATGCCAACTCCATATCTTGAAGGAAATTTCAACATTCTAATATCATTCTCTTCGTCATGGTTCATCCGTTTGCGGCTACTAGTGGTGTTCTACCAGCCCCAGTTTGTCTTTTATGCGGGGTGGAGATCCATACCACGGACAATTTGGGAATACCCAAAATATCCCATTCAATCGAAGGAGCCTCGAGACTTGACAAACAACATTGGAAGAAACTCTGGAAACAGGCTACGAGTTTAGCATCTCTATGCCCTAAGAAAGCGAAGAGCATGTTCAAGAGACGAACAAAAGAAAGCTACGCAAATATCAGGCTGACTCGTAAGAGGCTCTCGCCTCGGGCCCAAACATAAGTGAATTCACGGTTCCACATATACCGGAAGCGCTCCGCCCACGTCGGAACCCTCCTCCTAACGTAATTACCATTACTTTCAAAGTTTACGAGCATGGAGGATGGCATGTGATGGACTAAGTGCCGGTTAACCCAAATGACCCATCGGAAGCAAATCGCATAACCCTTAAGTATGCCCGTCAGGACAATAAACATGCGCGCTTCTACAATAAGAACCTACGACTAGTCAGCGCTGCATAATGTGTCCGAGCCACGATAGATGATGGATCGAATACTGTCCTTATGGGCCTATAAAATGATCTTATAGTGACACAAGCTAAAGCGGCCGCCGTGAAAGCGGATGCCCAGAGAAGGGCAGTAACTAATGCTGATGATGGAATAACGTAGTCAAGTTTCGAGCATAAGTCTTAAGTCACCGGTCGTCTTTAGCTCTGAGGCTTATGGCTTAGCGGGCCGTGAAATGTAGGGGATACTTACTGGCATTCTAATGGCCTGGCAGGTTTTGAGTCCGCGGTCTTAAAACCTGCTGGGACTCGGGCTCTGTGTCTATCGCCCTCAGGTCGGTGTCACCGAGCCCGAGTACGTAGTCTTATGTGAGCAGATTTCAGTTTTAGGTTACATGTCATCAGCTCAAATATGTTTCTTATAATCGCCGGGGAGGCAGAGGACCACTCGACGGGTGTTACAGCTCAGCGGAATGGTTCTGCTAAAATGAAGGAACTGTCATGAGCATATATGTGGATCTTAAGCAACGGATGGAGGCCTGGTATTCACTCTATGAAAATGGAAAAGCCTATGTAAGCAGTGAAACACATTTCTACCAGAGCATCCATCCAACCAAGCTCTTGAAACTGTGGTCAACGTCCTCAACCAAAGACCCTCTTTCACCAAGCTTATTGCGCTCATTCAACGCCTCAGCTTTGAGCCGTTCAGCAGAAACAATGTCCCCCAATCGTCGCTCTAAGGTCCCGAGAAACCACAAAGATTGAGCGAGATGTCCCTGCATTTCAGACACACCTCGGCTAAAGTCGACGATTGTGCGAAGCATCTTTGCGGCTAATACATTTTCATCGGCTGCTTCCAACATCTGAGCAACCAGAAACATAGAGTCAGCCACCCTAGGGCCTTTGTCACTGTAAAGGCCTCTACGACTGGAAACGGTTCTAGAAGAAAGCCGCTGGGCCTCTCGCTCTAACCCTTGGGCATATTTAATCCTCGCCAGAAGAACAAGATCTTCACTGTGCTTGGGGTATTTTGAGTCAATGATCTGTTCTTCAGTCAATTTTTTTTTGAGCCTCTTTTCTAATGTCATCATGAGCCCTGCTGGTTTCTTTGAAATCTAAGGGGCTCGGTGTACTCATTTTGGAATGAAATGAAGTTCAAATATGGTGGGTTCACATGATACATTGACCAACCACGTACTACTTTAACCCAACTTTCTCCCGAGTCTGATCTTTTTATAGCTGCACTAAGTAACCATTTTTTTCTATCTAGTTCTAGATATTTCTAGATTTATGCAATCATATTTATAGCAAGATACAATTTAGAAGTGATCCTCCCATGAGAAAATCCTAGAATTGACAACATCAATCTCGACACTTGACTTATCAAAGTTCAAAGCACGCAAGCATAGGTTCGAACTCTCATTCGTAAAACAGCGAGGTCGTAAAAAGCAGGATCTGTCTCCACGACAAATTCAGGGTTCCACTGTACCGGGAAGGAAAATTTCTACCGACGCGTTCTTCCTATTGATCTCAATACCGAAGAAAGGATGCTTTAATCAAGAAATGAGGCTTTAATCCGCAATATGTCGTCATTGTAATGGGAATTGTGTCAGAAACCCAACATGGTGAGAGATATCCTCTGTTAGTCGAATCATGAAGTGACTTGTATGGCCGTCACCCGATCCCTCGCTAATAACTTGACCTGTTAACCACGGAAAGCTTCCATGGAGCCACTTAAGACCTCTGGCGAGAGTGACAGTAATTTCTGAATGTGCGGTAGCATCAGGGACGGTAAAACAGAGACATGATTGGATGTTGATGGTGAAGGTCTGTTGACCGAAAATGTCAAGGTAATCATCCATATTGCCCAAGAATGTGAAGAATAATCAACGTACTATTTCAATTTATACGATATCCTCATGGTGGCCTGGCCAACCAACATGTCACGATGTATACAATATGAGTCATATTGAACTAATCCGGATCGGTCCACTTGATCTGACAAGAAAACCGGGGCCTGCGTCAGGGCTACCATGGCGCTTTTCCTCCTACCTAGTTGCAGCTCTCTGTGAACCCCAGTTTGAGCTGGACCGAGAGCCAAATACGCTTCCGCCAAACGCAATGGATTCGAATAAACTCAAGTCTTTTGAGCACCTGGAGCTGGTATATAAACAAGTCAACGGCCATGATATCAAAACGAGCGTTTTGATGCCCAAAAATGGGATTACTGGCTCCCTTCCGGTCCTTGTTCATTTCCACGGTGGTGGGCTGGTGATGGGGGATAAACTGTTTCTCCCTTGGTGGGCGAACTGGTGAGACCCTCCATGGAAGCACTTCGGAAAGAAACAAAGAAGCTAATGAGCATACACTAGGCTTATTCAACTAGCAGAAAAGCACAATGCCATTATTATCAGTCCCAATTATAGACTCATACCGGAATCCACAGTATCCGATACGCTTCAGGACCTTGTGAGCTTTTGGGCCTGGATCCACGAATCTCTGGCCTTTGAGGTGAAGAAAATGAATCCCAACATCTCCCCAAACACCGAAAGGATCACTGTTATCGGAGAAAGTGCAGGTATACCACCCCTCTTTCCCCCATAATCCTACTTCCCCATGTGACGTTGAGGCGCTGACCGATTTTGACCGACGTCCCTGAAGGCGGTTTTCTGTCAATCCAATCGGCACTTGTTCATCCACACAATGGTATATGTGCAGTTATCTCTCAGTATGGAACGATGGTTTTTGATCATCCTTTTTTTATCCAACCTTCCCAAGGAGATCCAAAGAATAGCCCAGTCCCTAGATCCATGGTGGACAGTTATGTGGCCAGTATCCAACCTGGCGCGGTTCGGACATCGTCAGTTGGTGATTTCCCACTCATGTTGTCACAAGCCTTTACAGTGCACGGAAAATTTCCCGATTTTCTGGGTCTCGACAAGCGTGTTTATCTGAGCAAGGCGATGCAGCAGGAAATGGGCCTCCCCCCTATCTGGCTGATCCAGGGTCGTGAAGACACTGCAGTAGGTGTTTTGAGAATTTTGAATTTGTCAGGAGCACTGAAATACCTACAGATGCCTTTAGATTGCGCGCAGCAATTTGTGCAAGATATGAAAGCGCTTCATCCGGAGACGCCTTTTCATTACAGCCTAGAGTCAGGCGGTCACGGCTTTGACCTGAAGTCTACTCTAGATGATGATTGGGTGAAAAAAGGCGTCGATTTTATTGAGAGATTTTGGCCGTGATTCACAGCAGAGGGAAGCAGGAAGGAAATAATTCAGGAAGTATTACCTTCTTGCTGTCACAAGCCAAAGAAATGGGTCTTAGGGGACGACTGTGGCGCAAATGCTGCTCGCCACGACCGACCAGCTTGTTCTCATATCCGAGAGGACTGAATGTACCTTATGCAGCAGACCATAAGCCTGGCTCCTACAATGTTAGTCTTTCAGTACCACATCCGAGAGCTAACCTAATTCACCACGGAAAAATGGACTAGGAATGGAAAGCGATAAACCTTGAGACAATTCAAATATCAAACATCATGCTCTATTTGTCCCAAGATCCCAAATGTACATTGTTTTAAGTTGGCCCAGTTGCGTTTTCAAGATAGCCTTTATCTTGGATGCTGAAGAATCCTGCTCAAAGTCTCGGTCTCACCCTCCAGTTTCGAGACCCGTGTCTTTAATTCGTCACGCTCACGCTTCACACTTTTGAGTTCAATTTCGAGTTGGCTGAGCTGATCCGTACGTCGTTGGCGATACCTGCGAGAAGCGAGTGTATTTAGCTCTCTTTTCAAAACACGGTCTCCAGATCGATTTGAAGGTATTGTTCGTGAACTATTCAGAACATTTGGCAGGGAAGGTATCGCTGTTTCCGGAATAGCTGTACATGGTGATTGACTGGGCGGTTGGTCTGTATCGTTTGTTAGTTCCGATGTCTAACAAAATTGAAGATCTTCATACCCAAGGAGTTCGAGTAAGGCGAGTTGAATATTACTGGTGATTCATTTGCATTGAGGGACGAAGCAGGAAATTCATCAAAGATGGCCGGATATGGTAATATGGCCACCGGTGGTCGCATAAGCTGGGTCTGTATGAGGTATCAAACTCTGATTGGCATCTCTGGTAATAGGCACGTTCGCATTCTCGAGACGAGGGACAGAAATTACGGAAGAAGTGGGTGGGAAGTGTGTAAAAGTATTGGCTTGAAGGTACGGGGCTACGGTCAGGGTATTGTGGATACCATGGACACCATGGAGGTCATGAGGTGAGGCATAGTGATTAAAGTATTTAGGGTGGCTTTTGCATAGACTGGAATCTTCCGGTCTCGAAGGTGTAGATGCTGAGTTCGCGGTTGAGCTGCATTCCAGAGAGGACGAAGGCAAACATCGTCTAATGCTTGAGGCCGGGCCAAAGGACCCCGATGAGACTCGAAATGCGTATGTTTCTCCTTTTTGTGCTTTCGAAAAAGCACCCACGAGTAACAGTAAGTGGCAGGAAGACAAGAAGAAAAGGGGGTCAAAAAAGAGAGAGAAACGAGGAATGCTTTTGGTTCCATGCAGCTAAGCAACCAGGAGTTCAGGTAGGGAGTTCTTACATGATTTCTCTCATTGTTCCTGCAGGGGTTAGGTATACTACTTTATCGAGATTCTCCTAGATGTTGCTCGTCCCGTGTCAATAAAATAGCGTCAGAAAATGAAAAGATCATGATGTAAGTCTTTGGGGTGAGTCAAGACTTGGATAGTAAGATTCTGATAACTAAGCTCTGTCGGGTCAGTATTCCCTTATTGATCAGTGTTCAAATACAATAGAAGCAAGTATTCAAAGCAGAATTCATAGTCAGATGGTATCGGCCCAGTCATGCTCTTGGATGTGGTCTTCCTGTAATGATCTGTGCCCAAGGGTCCCAACCATGTTAAATACGCTAGCTAGTATTTTAGTTGTTCTCTTCGGGTACCTGTAGCTGGACCCCTCTGGGCAATGCAAATGACACCAGGATGAGTGAGTATAAATCGTTTTGGCTCATTTTAACTTGATCCACTGTAGGCTTACTATGTGGGCTGTGGAGTACAGACCGTTGCGAAGGACTCCGAACCAACAGGGATATGAGAAATCTTCTTACATGTAGAATGTTTTAGACCTCGCAAGTCCAATAGGGCCGAGGGGGCTGGATGACCTCATGATCCATTATGAGTCATACTGGGTCATATGGGTTATTGTGGGCCACCATGGGGTATTGTGGGTCTATCAATATTCAATTCACCCAGGTAATCGGAATTCCTCAGAAGAAAGAGACCAGGCCTTGGCATGGATGTGGCGTGTTAGTAAAGACCATGCCGGACCGTGTAGCCACTCTGAATGCGCCAAGGAAGTTGTGGAGCAGATGTTGTCTGGCGTTGAAACTATGTTCTACCGTTGAACCAGATGCAGGATAGAAGTAGGAATGTTTGAGGAAATACTTTCTCCACCATATTTCAACTTCTCTTCAATTGCAGCAGTCGCGTTTCACAAACTGTCTTTTTTCCATAACTTCGACTTCTTTCTTACCAGCACGAGCAACTGTGTTTGAATGGAGACTCACGGAGCGGCACCAGCAATCCAGGCCGGCTCGCTGGTTGTCCATGACCAGGAATTTGTAAATGCAACGGCCAATGACACCGACTCGCTGCAATACAAGGGCGGTGCGCACAAAAGCACCATTTCAAAGTCTCCTGTTTATTACTACCTTGTGAGGCTCCCAGGTCCTGGGTCTTGGGCCTCCATAGCTGACACATCCACAACAGCGTATCTTCACCTACAACGACTCTTTCGGGTGGTGTCTCAACCTGATAGCTTTTGTTTGCATGATTGCGACAGGTGCCTTGCTCCCATTGATGGATATCGTCTTTGGCAGATTCGTCACCGTTTTCAACGATTTTTCAACAGGAGTTCTCAATCCAGGGGAGTTCCGGTCCGAAGTGAACCATTACAGGTTGCCTCCCAGCTCTTCTTTTGATGTATGGTGCAATGTACAATTGAGCTAACAATATACCGCATTAAAAGTCTTTGGTTTGTGTACCTTTTCATTGCCAAGTTTTTTTTGAGCTACGTTTGGAATGTCAGAAGTGATCCTCCCTGCCTACTGAACAGAATTTGTCGCTGATTTACAACCTCCCAAGGTTATTGTTTCTATCACCGCCATTCGCACGACCAGGGCCATCCGCATGAGCTTCCTACAGAAACTACTCAGCCAAGAAATTAGCTATTTCGATAATCCCGATTCAGGCTCTATCTCGGGTCAAGTGACCACCAATGGCAATTTAGTCAATGGCGGCATCGCTGAGAAGCTCGGCCTCATCGTCCAAGCTTGTTCGACATTTATCACAGCTTTCATTGTCGCCTTCATAGTTCAGTGGAAGCTGACCCTTATCATCATGTGCATCGTACCCACCAGCCTCATAGTAGCCATGGTGACCCTCGCCATGGATACCAAGTATGAAATTGCTGGTATGGATGTTTACGCCAAGGCTGGTCTGATTGCCGAAGAGGTTTTCTCCAGCATCCGTAACATCCACGCATTCTGGGCCTTTGCCAGTATGTCTAATCGATTCGAGACCATAGTGGAGCAAGCGCATACTGTTGGCCGTAAGAAATCTCCTGTCCTATCCGTTCTGTACTCGTTCGAGTTCTTCTGCATCTATGCCGGATACTCCTTGGCTTTCTGGCAAGGCATTCGCCGCTATGCAAGTGGCGAGATCACTGAGCCTGGCAAGGTTGTTACGTGAGTTCCATATTGATTGTGTTTCTGGATCTAGCTCTGACCATTTGAAAAGTGTCATCTTTGCCATTATCGTCGCAGCTCAGGCTCTCACGCAAGTTGCACCGCAGATTGTCCACATTTCGAAGGCGGCTGCGGCTGCTCACCAGCTCTTTCAGGTAATTGACCGCGAATCGATGGTCAACCCTCTATCAGCCAATGGCTTAAAGCCAGATCACTGCCAAGGCCATATTGAGTTGCGCGATGTGCGTTTCGCCTACCCGTCGCGGCCGGATGTTTCGATACTTAAGGATTTCGCCCTATCTGTGCCGGCAAACAAGACAACCGCACTTGTAGGGCCTAGCGGCTCCGGCAAAAGCACTATTGTCGGCCTTATAGAGCGGTGGTATGCTCCTTTGGGGGGGTCTATCACCTTGGATGGTCATAAAATTGAAGACTTGAATGTCCGGTGGCTTCGGTCCAATGTTCGCCTCGTCCAGCAAGTATGTATCGCAGTCACTGAAGAAAATGACAGATATGTCGCTAATCTTCTATACAGGAACCCGTCCTTTTCAGCGGAACTATTTTTCAGAATGTTGAATTCGGTTTGGCAGGAACCGAGCTAGCGAACGCCTCGCGCGAGGAGAAGGAGCTTCTCGTGTATGAGGCTTGCAAAGCTGCTTTTGCCCATGACTTCATTAATCAGTTGCCTGAGGTACATAGTCTCCCTACCTTGCCATGGAAGTGCTCACTAACTCGGTCACCACTGAAAGGGTTATAACACGGAGGTTGGTCAGCGAGGTGCTATGCTCTCTGGGGGTCAGAAACAGCGCATTACCATTGCACGCAGTATTGTTTCCAACCCCCGGGTCCTGTTGCTAGACGAGGCTACAAGTGCGCTAGATCCGAATGCAGAAACTATGGTGCAGAAAGCACTAAACAATGTGGCTATTGGTAGGACAATGCTCATCATTGCACATCGGCTTTCTACCATTCGCAAAGCGGACAACATCGTCGTCATGCGTCAAGGTGAAATCGTTGAACATGGTACCCATGACGAGCTCATGGCCCATGAGGGCACCTACGCGGGACTGGTACAAATTCAAAATCTCGGAAAGCTTCACAATGATGAGCAGGAGCAGACTGAGTGCGAGATACTGGCCGGAACCAGCCAGGGAGTGGACAAGGAGTTGTCTCTCATAAGGCCGCACATGACAACAAATCTACCAGTGGAACAGAGTGAGGTGGTTTTTGATTACAGTCTGCCCAAATGTATCGTTGTGGTTCTACAGGAGCAGCGGTCTTTATGGGGTATTTTCAGCGTCGGTTTCGGCTGTTGCCTCGTGGCAGGTGAGCCAACGTCACTTTTTTCCCGGTTGATGATATCAAAAAATGCTAACTACACAATTGGCCTTACTTATCCTGCTATTGCGGTTATTTTTTTCTCGTGCCGTGAATACCTTTCAGTTACAGGGGACGGACCTGATCCACCGAGGAGACTTCTTCGCGCTTATGTTCTTTATTGTGGCGCTGGCTAATTTAGTTGCTTACGCCGTTTTCGGTTGGGTAAGCAATGTCCAGGCTCAGCAAATTCTCAAAAGCTACCGTCTTGAGCTTTTCAATGCCATCATGCGACAAGACATGCGCTTTTTCGATGAACCGGATCACACCACCGGTGCACTGGTATCCCGCTTATCTACTGAGCCACAGAACATAATGGAACTCATGTCCATGAACATTGGCATGGTTATAGTGAACATTATAAACGTTGTGTCAAGCAGCGTTTTGGCTATAGCAGTCGGCTGGAAGTTAGGTCTTGTACTCACCTTCGGCGCTCTCCCCCCATTGCTATTTGCTGGTTACCTGAGAATTCGCCTGGAGTTCAAGCTAGATGATGATAACAACGCACGCTTCGCCAAAAGCGCTGGACAGGCTACCGAGGCCACTCTTGCAATACGCACTGTCGCGTCTCTTGCTCTGGAACACCGTATCATCGGTAATTTCAAGAACTCTCTTGAGGGTATCGCCAAGCGGTCCATCAAAGCCCTGGGCTGGAACATGTTCTGGTACGCTTTGAGTCAATCTATCTCTTTCTTGGCGATGGCGCTCGGTTTCTGGTGAGATAATCAATCGACATTCCCGGCTTTCAATTGCTTTACTTATAAGACTAGGTATGGTGGGCGACTTATGTCAACTGGGGAATACAGCTCCACTCAGTTTTATACGGTTTTCATGGCCATTATCTTCTCTGGCGAAGCTGCCGCTATGTTTTTTCAGTTCACTACAAGTCTCACAAAGGCACGCGGTTCAATCAATCATGTCCTTACTTTACGATCACAAGTAAAGCCGGACATGAAACACGATCATGTCGATGGGGATGAAACACGAGACGAAGATGGCGCAGCCATCGAAGTCCAGAATCTTCACTTCGCGTACCCCCGAAGGCCTAATCTAAATGTCTTAAAAGGCATCAATGCTAGTGTAAGTTAGCAATCGATCTAATTGCGTGTCCCACAGCTGACTCTCCAGGTCGCATCTGGTAGTTTTGTGGCCTTTGTCGGTCCGTCTGGCTGCGGCAAGAGCACGATTATTGGTCTCCTACAGCGATTTTACGAACCTGAACCCGGTACTATTTTCTTTGATGGCCGCGACTCGACCACAACCCAGCTTGGCCGCTACCGTGCAGACATCGCACTCGTCCAGCAAGAACCAGTGCTTTACCAAGGATCCATCGGCGACAACATTGCTCTCGGTCTGCCTGCCTCCGTTCCCCCATCTGAGGATGCTATCATGGCAGCGGCCACCGCTGCGAATATCCACGACTTCATTATCTCCTTGCCAGAGGGACTGAAAACCCCCTGTGGGGCTTTAGGCATGCAGCTTTCAGGAGGACAGAGACAGCGGATCGCAATTGCCAGGGCCCTCATTCGCAAATCTCGTCTGCTACTCCTTGATGAAGCCACGAGCGCTTTGGACACAGAAAGTGAGAAAATCGTCAAGGCTGCACTCGACCGGGCATCTACCGGTCGAACGACCATAGCAGTGGCGCACAGGCTTAGCACTATCAAAGACGCGCATTGTATTTATGTTTTCTCCCAGGGGCATATCGTTGAGAGCGGAACCCACTCGGAACTTATGGGTTATCAAGGATTGTATTACGGAATGTGTCTGGGACAGAGTTTCGACCAAGATACCCCTTAAGCGCCGTCCTCTTACACCCACCAACTTTAGCGATAGATATGTTGACATCGTGAACAGCTTCATTGATTTATGTGCTTTTTTATTAGTTTAGCAGCATTCATGGCTAATTGACGTCTTTATTTCTCCACCATCCCAAATTCTGGGCTCCAATTTTCGGTGTCGGCTTGTTTTCTTGTCAATGTCTGACCTAAAATAGTGTGATCTTGTCTCTGTTGTCTAGATATAGTCATTTGAGCGAACGAGAATTGACAAGATATTCTCCATCTTTCAGCACGACAGAATATGAACGACCGTTTGGCTCTCCAGAGACTTGAATCATCACCTTCTCTTACAGGGTGACGTCCATATCCGCCCACTTCTGAATCATTTTAATACAAATGGTAATCTTGTATTCAAATTGTTAATCTAGCAGCATTAAATGAGCTCCACTTACGGGGCGGATTGATCCTGCGGACTACCGGCGCGTCTTCCGGCGCCGAACAGCACACCGAATATGAGAATGGTTGTCTCACATCAGAGAAGGGTTCAATTCTTGTCTGAGAATTCGGGTTATTTGAGAATAGAGCGGTTGCATACGATGCTGCAAGCCAGCATGACTAACGACATGGTCAATCTTATAAGTGTACTCTAAATCGCGATCCGTGGTATTGATCCGACAAAGGCCTTCGGGTCTTGGTGATTTCATGAATAGAGAGGAAAAATACGAGTACAACTTTGCTAAATTGATTCAATACAGACTAGGCAACATGGTGAACTGGAGTCCACTTCTGCAATAAAACAGCCGCTGGTATCCTTGCGTGATATAGTTGTATACTTACTAAGCGGAGGCTGGTTCCGAATCCGACGGCTCTTATCAGGTGGATGGTAAAGCAACCGTTTGACCTCCATGGTAATTGACATAAGAAGCATAATACCTTCTCTCCTGTCGACACTTATCCCTTGATCACTCATTAAAGACAAACGAAATTTACACGGCCTTTCCCTTTTTGTCGTATCAGTTATGAAGGTTTCAAACTCCGATATTAGCATTCTTATTGTTGGAGGTGGACTTGCTGGCCTGGCTAATAAGGGGATCTCATTGTTGTAGGAACCAGTGCACTGAGGACTGCCAAAAAAAATGGCCTGGTTTCTTAGACAACCTCCGGGGAAATGCCTATCACGTGCCCTCGGCCAAGGTCTTCAAGTTTGATGGAACCTATGTCTGTGAAGCACCTCTTGGACAGCCTGGCTACCCTTCAGTGACTATTTCACGCGCAGAATTTCAACAGCTCTATAGCTACGTTGTGAGCCTCGGAATCCCTGTTGGGTTCAACCACTCTGTCTCTTCTTACTATGAGACAGGAGAGAAGGGTGTTGTCTTTTCTGATGGAAGGAAGATACAGGCAGATGTCGTTGTTGCCACTGATGGTGTCGGTAGCATATCTTGGGAAATAGTGTCGGGGAAGAAAGATCGACCTATCAGCAGTAGCTACGCGATATACAGAGTGACTTATCCAGTTGAGCCCGCTCTCAAAAACCCAATCATTGCCGCGGAATATGACAATGACAATGACCGCATGTCAATCTTCGTTGGCCCTGATGCCCACATGATCACTAGGAGAAAAGGGCAGAATATCAACTGGTTCATGGCCTACAAGGTAAGATTTTGACACCAGCTCTGATTCTGCCTTGGCCTGCACCTATGCTAACACCAATTCCAAAGGATGATGGAAACGCGGATGAAAGTTGGTTAAAGTCTGCACCGGCTGATAAAGCATTGAAGCATATCACATGCTGGACACCGCTTCTGGAAGAGCTTGTGAAGGAAACACCACACAACTCAGTCCTTGATTGGAAGCTCTTGTGGAGGAACCCACAGCTGAATGGGTCCCGCCTAATGGGCGAGTCATTAAAATAGGGGATTCTGCCCACTCATTTCTACCTTCTCCGGGTAGCGGAGCAACAATGGCATGGGAGGATGCATTTTTCCTTATTGCTTGCCTTGAAAAAGGACGCAAGGAAGGTATTCCCGCATCCCTTCGGGTACACAATCTATTGAGGTGAGCTTTGACATCTTCGCTATCTTCATATCTTAGATTTTAGCAGGTACTCGGCCCAACGCACGGCCCAACTCCCTCATAAATATGTGAAGGGCTACAGTCGAATTGATTCAATTGAACGGTGCCTGCATGCTGTTTAATTAAAGCTTAAGGAGTTATACTGTGTGGGTGTTCACAACATCCAGATCCCGAAGTAGCCACTACATCAAATAGTTATGCTGAATTCCCTATGAAGGGTAGACTTCGCGAAAAACCGCAATTGAGGCCAAACCTTCGCCTAACTCCCAAAAAAAACCATTTACAGCCCATTTTTGCATAATTCTGCATAATTCTACATAGATTTATGATAATCAATTTACAGTATTGTAGCCTATTAGTATTAGTAAAAGTTTTATCATTTTTGGACTTTAATTACTAGTAAATTAATGTTATATCTAAATTTATATAGATATGGGATTTACTAAAATTACAAATCTTGTAATTAATAAACCAATTTCGACCGACCCCACATACCATTGCGGTTTATAGTCCTCGCCCCAAAGCCCGCCCTAATTGCGGTTTATGGGTTTGTGTAACAGGCTAATGCCAGTACCAAGACTCGGGCTCTGTCAGTATTCACCGCCTTAGGAGAACACAACATCACCGTCGAACAACATACATTAAGTCGCTAGACAAGAGCGGGGCTACCCCAGAACGAGGGTCGGTCAATAGATGATCGGCGCTAACGTCTTGGCGTGGGGCTAGAAAAGAGGTATAAGTGTGTGTGCGTCAAGCCGATTTTGAGAATAACTATCATGTGCTAGATAAGCGATTGATATACGTGTGCGGAATGCAGTCGACAGCGCATGTCGAGACTTACGTTCGAACTTTTACCTTAACCTTCACTTAAAACCCATCACCTGCCTGCTCGATGCTCGTTTTCACCTTCAGCTAGACCTCACCATACCTAACCCTTGCGGAATTGATCGGCTGGTGATCATCTAAGTATCTCCGATAGTTATAAGGAGGCAGGCATTTTTAAACATGTAAGGGAGGTGATATCATATATGGATGTCACTAGATACTGGTCTATGGTAAGGTTTTGTATACCATCTCTAAACCCTTGCTTTGCTTACTTATAGTCTTCCTAGGCTGTCTCATAGTATATATTAAGGTCCTCCACCACCTGAATAAAGTAACTCTATCACTTCTGCGAAATCTCATATTCCTCTACCAGTCACCAATTCTTCAGGAGCCAATTTTCAAAATGAAGTTCTTCATCGTCCTATCTGCAGTTCTCTTTGCCGCCTTTGCAGTAGCAGCGCCTTTAAAAGACAGCTCGCAGGACGAAGCTGCAATTGAAAAGAGACAGGTATGGAAATCAATATTACATATCTACTGGCGTGAGTAGAAGCATACAGAGCTAACTGAGATGGGATAGGATGTATGGAAATCAATATTACATATCCACTGGCGTGAGTAGAAGCATACAGAGCTAACTGAGATGGGATAGGATGTACGGAAATCAATATTACATATCGACTAGCGTGAGTAGAAGCATACAGAGCTAACTGAGATGGGATAGGGACCGTCTGTACGTGGTTCCCCCACACCGATAGGCTGATAAATATAGGGCTGACTGGGATGGGATATGAATAGTGTGTAAGTGATTGATCTATATTTGACTGATACGGCTGATATATGTATGGCTGACTGAGATGGGATATGGATAGGAAGTAAGTGGTTCTACACTTCAGAGATAGGTTGATATACACAGAGCTAACCGAGATGGGGTGTGGATAGATTGTAAGTATTTGATCTATACTTGAGAGATAGGTTGATATACACAGAGCTAACCGAGATGGGGTGTGGATAGTATGTAAGTATTTGGTCTATACTTGTGAGATAGGTTGATGGTTACAGATCTGACTAAGATGGGGTGTGGATAGTGTGTAAGTGGTTCCCCTGCACTTGAAAGACAGGTTGATATATACGTGGCTGACTATGATGGGGTATGGATAGGGTGTAAGTGATGCTTTTACACTTAAAAGACAGGTTGATATATACAGGGCTGACGAAGATGGGGTATGAATAGAAAGTAAGTGGTTCCCTTGCACATGAGAGATAGGTTGATATATACAGGGCTGACTGAGATGGGGTATGAATAGAATGTAAGTGGTTCCCCTGCACATGAGAGATAGGTTGATATATACAGGGCTGACTGAGATTGGATGTGGATAGGGTGTAAGTGATGTTTTTACACTTAAAAGACAGGTTGATATATATAAGGCTGACGAAGACGGGGTGTGGATAGTGTGTAAGTGGTTTCTTTGCACTTGGGAGATAAATTGATGCATACAGGGCTAACAGAGATGGGATATGGATAGGAAGTAAGTGATTTCTCTAAACTCAAGAGATTGATTGATATATACAAGGCTAATAGAGATGGGATGCGGATAGGAGGTAAGTGATTTCTTTATGCTTAAGAGACAAGTTGATATATACAAGGCTGACTAAGATGGGATGTGGAAAGCTTGTGAGTATTTGACCTATACCTGAGACATAGGTTGATGGATACAGAGCTGACCAAGATGGGGTGTGGATAGTGTGTAAGTGATTGACCTGTACTTGAGGTGTTTCGACTAATGTACCCGAGTAAATTCTCCGGTTACGCACGGCGGGCCTGGGGCAATTTGAGGAATATAGGAACAGGTACTCACAATGGACGACTGTTCTCTGACGTCTGTCGTTGCTACCACGACGTATCAAAACGTGATACACGCCCAACGTTTTGGAATTTGCTATAAACCAGTGGGGGGTTTCTACCAGGTTTTGTTTGGCCTTGGTATTGGTTTTCCCTGTTAAGTTAGGTTTTCCAGTACTGTTATGCGAATGCAAAGGCCCAGTCTTTTATTTTATAAGAGTAATCTCCGAACATAGTATTCGGCTTTCAAAATATTCTTCGCAGATGCGATTAAACTCACTGTGAAACATTTCTCGGCCGGTAGTAGGCCAGGGGAAGGGGGAGCAGCTACGCGGGGATCTAAAGACGAAATCCATTTTTCAAGCGATTACACTTCAATTTCTGTCAATTCATGGCTGTTGGGGCGAGATAAGGTTGATATAGACAAGATTGGTTTATAATGACTATAAAAGAGTCTATCAAATTTGTTAAGTAGTTTCATAGAAATTCAAATCAAGAAGTGTACTATCGTCATCCATATTATCCTCGCTCTACTGGATGACTCTGTGGTAATCTTCTCATATAATTCTGGCGTCATCTTATGGCAAGGAAGCTGTTTATATCAGAACCAGCAAAAAGTACGCGAACTAGTATATATTTAGGACGAATGATGACTATATGGATGGATCTAATATCAGAATTATATTAACCAACCAATAGTGAACCCAACCAAATATATACTAACGATAACGGAAATCAACCATAAATCTACCTATAGAATATATATCCAGAGTAACCTCATCTATGATTTCTTGCCCTATTTAGAGTTTGACTGATTAAACGCAGACGACGAACCAGACTTCCCAATCGCGACGCCCTCCGGCGAGATAGCCGGTGCCATATCCATCGGGGGAAGCTCCATAGTCTTGAATATCGCCTCCTTGAGGGAGAGTAGAGGGAAGCGTTTCTAGATCTCGCCAAGGGAATACTTGCTAATATTTTTTTCTTCAATTAAAGCAGACAAGCGCCTGATTGCTACGAGCGCTTGCTAGCGGAATGACACAAAATCATGGTTGATCCCAGTTCATCTAATAGAGTCTGTTGATCTATTTTTAATTGGAAAGTAGCAGTATTATATCTCAAATAGGATCTAAGATATCAAATTAAATCGAATAAAATAAATTCCTAAGGTATTTCCAAAGCGGTATTTCACCCGTTGAACATTCCCCACGAGCAACCGAGGAACAATGGGAATAAATCAATCATCTCAATGGATTAAAGTCTAAAACCCTCTATAACAGGCAGCCTCCTATCTGAACACCATCTCCATCAGTAAAAGTTTTTATTAAAGTGGGAGAATCATATTCTCGGTAAAAATCAATATCCGATAATCAATTGTTAACATAGACCCTCGTATCTAGCTCTTTTCACTAAACATTATGATTGTCTGACTTTGCTTCCTTCTTCGTACAATTTTTAGTGTTTCTTCAGTCCTAATTTGTGGCAGTTACACGCCGAATCTTGACCAAAAGTCGGTTCCCCTTGTGAAAGAGGTGGTTAGTGGCTATAGTCTACAGTTTCAAAGCCTCACTATTATCGCTGCTGGTCGCTTTCTCGGACTGATTAGTAATGAATGGGGGTAAAGGGCATGAATAAAATCTGACATTTTCCGTCCTTTCTATCCTTGTGGCTAGGTACATCCTTATCTGAGGGAAAATGGTTAATGGATGGGTCTTCGCAGGCAGGTGGTTTAGTCAGCGTTAGGATAGAGGTTCAATCAACAGCTTTACCCTCGTCCGCTGGGGTAGATTCATCGATCAATATGTCCCTCTAGGACTCTGGTGTAACCAAAACCTCAATGCCGATATTAGTCGTCTCGTCCGCTAGGAGATCACGGCTTTCACAGAACAGTTTATCCCACCTGAGCTCTGGCGTGGCTTTGATATCGGTGTCCAAAGCAGAGTTGAGCTGCTTTTCCTCGAAGTAACCATAGTCCTCTTCAACATAGATCACGATGGGGTTAAATTCCGATCCTAATAGAGCATCATCGTCATCAATCATGAGTAGAACTACCGTGGGCCGGTTAGGATGGTCTATAAAGATTAATTATCTCACGTTAACGCGGTCAACACATTCATTTCTATAGATATCTCACCGAATGCTTCGCGCGTGTCGTTTATAGAGGGTCCTATACTGACTAAAGTGAGAAAAGGAGTTTAAATACCATACCTAAACTCCTTGCTCTTATATCCTGGCTTTACACCTATCTACTGATTAATTACGCTATGTTTAACCTAGAGGCAGAGTATAAGTTATGCGGTAGAGTTTTGACCGAATAAAGCCTCCCTCTAATCGTTTTGCCACCACAAAGCCTACTCTCTATCTGCTCTAATGACTATGTCGTGCTATTCCTATGGGTTATATCTCATTATACCGCTTATGGCCGCTGCTGCCATCGCCGGGTTAGTAGTGCTGCGCCTACTAATCGTTCCGTGGCCTAAGATAAAAGGCGAAACGCATAGGATCCTATTACTATAATGTAACCCTGGTTTTTATGCCAGGATCTCGTTTCGTATGATAATCAATCGCGAGGCGACGAGCATTCTAGTAAGCCGTCATGATAATAGGTTAGGCGTAGATATCTAGAAACGATCGAGCGCTAGTACGGCTTATATATCGAGTCCTAACTTCCAGACTTTAAAGGCTGCGCTAGACTTAACTGACCTATCGTGTAACCTGTAGGTGTTAGCATCACGAACGAAAACTATGCGATCGAATCGAGCAGTGTATCCATTGTTGGGTGTTCTAACCTCAAAGCAGATTTTAGGGACCCGCTGCGTAAGGCGATTTTCTAGACGTGAGAGATTTAGCGCAGCGGGCTAAGAGTAAAATTGCCTCAAATTAATCGTACTAGTCGGAGTAACGGAGATAGGGAAGAGGGAGTGAAAGCAGTGCAAATTGCTTGAGGGGTCCGACTAGTCGCCACGAGAGTAACGCAAATGGCAGAGCTCGGTGATCTGGATGAATTAGAAAAATACCAGATCAACCTTGATAGGAGGTAAGAAACGACTAAAATACAGGGGGCCAGGGAGGGTTTTAAAGAACCGCGCACGGGAACGGAGACGGATAAAGAGCGCTAAATTAGAATTGTATAATCTAAGCAAAAAGGCACAAAGTTTCCATCTAATATCCGATATGGCGTAATCCAGGGGGACAGCGGAAAGACCACAGTTGTGCGTGGTGTTGTGGGAGGTAATCGTGGTGATTCCGTATAGGCGATTCAAATTTAGATTTTCACTGTGCGCTTACTCTTGCTCACAAGCCGACAACGATGGGCAAGACAGCAGCGGAGAGCATCTTGGTATCACCAAACCAAAATCGTTCTTCACAGAGGTATCTCCGTCACCTTGGGCTGCATCTGGGGTATTATCATCAAGCGAGGCATCTGGCCAATTCGCGCATGGATAAAGCTGAATACTACATTACATCTGCTATGGCTTCGGCTGCTATTCGTTTGGGAATCAGATCCCTTAGGCACTATAGTCACAGCAAGAGGTAAACGTACCTGGTTGTTTGCTGAGGTCTTAAGATAAATTCGAAATTGAGCGCCACCTTTTCCAACTCGAGCGGCTTCGGTAATCAGTTCAGCGCGCTCTACATTCGAATTGAAAAAGTGGTTTCTAGATTGTCATGGATAATTATATACGCTACTATATATATTGGTTCTGGGCATATCAGAGCGACAGCTCTGATACAATGGTGGTCTTTTGGCCCAGTGGGAGAATGTGCGCCCTGGCATATCCTTTACACTCGTTGATTTCTTCTTCTCTTTTTTCTTTGTTCTCTGTACTTAGTATTTTCAGTTGAATGCACTCTTTTTGTTCGAAGAACTGGCAGGTAACAGTTCCCGGTATACCTATTAAGCCTTAGCGTATCCGCTATACATTGGATTGCCTAGATGGGCGCCGAGTAACACTTCGGGAAAGCCTTTTAAGGCAATTAGACGAAAGAGTACAAGACTTAAGAGCACTTCTAGTGTAGATACAGATGAAACGCTTATAAAAAGGCTAAGTTTTCCCCTCAGTCTTAACTACCTAGGCTTTCTCTGATTTAGACACTCGGGAAGGGTTAAAATGGCGACCGATTAGAACGCATTTATTCGAGAGTCGGATACTTCAGTTATAGCTGACTATACGAAGCTAACGAAAGATAAACTCCGGGAGATCAGAAATAACTTTCGAATGTTTATATATCTCCCCTAGTTTTAATAATAAACAAAGGTCGTAGAGGGGCTTATAACCTTCTGAGCCTCCTATATTGGAAAACCGGCCACATGAGCTATGTACCTAGATATGATTCCGAAGCCATTCAGCATGTGAAAATAAGCCAGCCTGCAGAGTAATGCTACATGTATTACTTGAGATAATGGGTGGCGTTGGTGACTGAACATTCGTGATACTATGACCACATGATAGTTACTTACACCCTCGAGAGCCAGAGAGTAGCAAGAGATAGTGAAGAAATTATTCATTCCGACTGCAGCAATTTGGAATGAACTTAATTCTAACTGATTACGAGCATTTACCACTGCCATTTCTCCGGGTGGAGGTACCAGTCTCCTTCTTCACTCGGTTCCGCCAGTTCAAACTCGACGTAACGAGCCTCTGACCATTCAATTTTACCGATAATTGGCCATCCCATTCGGAACCCCGAGATATAACTAAAATCCGTTAGTAAATATTTTCAACGCATTTATAGGGCATGACGTACAGGTTGCCTGTGGACTGATCGAAAATGATTTTCGAGATCCTGGATTGGCCTAGTGCTATCCCGCAACTAAGTAGCTGTCTTTTGATTATGTCAATATCCCATCTACCTGCCTGAGATTTGCATAGACTTACTCATAGGCGTCGCGGAACTTAGCACGGATGTCTTTGCGCGCGGTGATATCCAAGGCCCAGAAGAATTCCTTTGTTATAGGCTCCCCTGGGACCTTTTCCCACACAATGTATCTAATGTAGCCGCCAGGAAGGAGGTCGTTATCTCCTTGTGTGCTTTCTGCGTGGCCAAGAAAGCGAGGAACGGCGCCACACCCTCCATTCTGTAACATTTTAAAGGACTCAAGCTCGCCACAAACTCCAGGAGTAACGGCTTGTCTAGCCAGAGTGTCGTGGTCAGCGTCTTCCGTTCCAGTGATAGGAATCTGTTGATAGATTCGCATGAACGCTATCTGGTTTGGGTCCCCTATAAAGTGGCACAGGAACTTGCCAACGGTCTTAGCTGAACTGCGGCCCATCTTAACATCGTGGTCTGTCATAGGGGCTGCCCTCTCCGTGAGTTTCTTCGTGATGACCCACGTTCGGGAGACTGCTGACGAGGTAGACACGACAGTCATTGGAGATGCCACTAGGGTAGATGGTGTGGTGGGGGAGGTCGTAATGTGAGAAGGCTCAGTGGAAGGGGCAAGGGAGGTAGATTGTGGTGACGCGCCATCCGAGACAAGGTCGTATGTGGTAACCGTAGTACCTATAAGGCCACGGAGTAATCGAGCATCGAAGCAGGTCATTCTGGTATTAGATGCCATGGCGAGGACTGCAAAAAGTAGGATTTTGGAAAGCAAGATGGCTTGACAGCGATGGGTGTTCAGCTTAGGGGAAGAGTGAACACAAGTGAACACAACTATAAGTGATAACATGGAAGGTCATGTGAGCAATGGCAGCTATCACTCGCTGACTTTGCCCGATCTTTTTTTCTATATCTAGGCATAGACATCCTGCTTCTTCCTCCCTTATTAGCTCTAAACTATCTGCTCAATTTCTATCCTTGTTCTGGCTCTCTCTTTTTCTCCCCGTGTATCGTATGTGCTGATATCTTCCATCGACATCCATATACTCCACATTAGGGCGTGCCAAGCTACAACATGGTGTGGGTCACTCGAATAACGCTAATCCTGGTATGTACCTCTTTTCTCCGCCAGATTCACGGACGCCAAGAAGGTATCGATGGTAGCAAATCCTCTCCTACACCATTAATATATCTTCAACCGCAACCTACTTTCAAAAGATTCGATACCATATATGCTTGGATACCAGTCATGGACGGGAAATGTCTATTAAGACTCAATTTCATCCTCTTCTGCGTTCCTCTAAGGCTCATGCAGTACACATAGGAGTTACAGCATACACTTCAAATTTTGGAGTAGAGAGTAACGAATAGCTTTCACTGCGACCAAATACGCTGGAAACCTGTCTGGGACAAAGAAAAATCTTACTTGATAGTCACAGTCGAGGGAAGCGGTACATCTGTCCGGGGCCTATAAACAATGTGTACGGAATGGACACAGAACATACCCAAGATGTGCTTAATTCGAATGTGCGGAAGTCCTGAAACATTAGATATCTACAATTCACCCTGTTGACATGTTATTGACGGGCCCCTGGTTCAACGTATTGAGGCCCACATAGAAAAAACATTGCTTCACAGAAACAACAGGGGAAGTGGTCATGCGTTTATCATAAGTGGTGGACGACAAGATCACAGGAGAATACTCAATCCTCCATACGCCATTATTGTCCACGACTTGTCGCAAGAAGATCGTGTCTTCGTATGTGCTGAGAAAGCCATACATGCATCCCAGATCCTTCATATACATGATAGGCTGGGCCAATGTCTCTCTCAAAAGCCTCATATTGGCAATCCTTCGTTTCATCTGATGCTCGCCAATCCAGGGTGCCTTGAGCTCCCCCACGATCTTTAAGGCGTGGTTGATGTCCTTCAGTATCACGTCAGGTGTGCCGGGGTATATAGACTGGATACATTTAAAATCTGCGAAACGGATGTTTATTTTTTCCTCGGTGGTAGATTGTGACTCGAAGATAGTGTTAAGTACGTCCCCAAAGAACTTTTGGAAGCGGCCTTGGACACCGTGTTCATCGCCAACCTCGACATTTCCATACGCATACAGATCTCGAGCTTGAATCATGTAACCCAGAGTCTGTTGTCGCCAGGTACGGTTCTCATGGCATGCCTGAACAGCACTGAGGAAGCCTGGCCATGGCTGGAGATCACCGACAAAGTAGATGCTGTGCAAAGCACTCGAGTTTGTATGGTGCTGGGACGTGTTTAGGGCTGGAGCAGCGGACTCAACAGCTTTCTTCAGGTTGATCGTGCTTGGCATTTTGCGAGATGCGACGCAGTTGACGAGGGAGACTATCAGCGACGTACTATGTTAGCAGTCCACACTTGCGCAAATAAGTGCTCTATCCATGTAGTGCGTACGAGCTCGAGCGGACTTAAAGGTTGAAAGACCAAGGCTAGGAGAAGAGACAGGAGTTGTTTGTTAGTTGCTCAAGTGAGAAAACGAGAGTATGCGAGCGTTGGGCATAACTTCATTTCGAGAAAATCGGTTTTAGCCCTTCTTTCCTTTCCTTTCCTTTACCTCTCACTTTCAAATCAAAACTTCATGTGTGTTAGCAAAGGCTCTTCTAAACTCCCGTTATCTCAGCCCTAATAACATTAATCAATAACCCACGCTCTTTCCTAAGACTCCTGCCTACCGCGGTGACGATGAGCTCTTGCGAACTTCTTGCCTAAGGATTCGCGAGAATCTGAGATTTTCCAATGATTTGCCCAGCACTCTATATGAAGAAGTGGACACATAGTAAGGGAGAATCTGCATATATAGAACATGTTCTTCTGCGCAGCAGTCGCCTGCGGCGGCGGGCGCTCGATTATTTCTAGACTAGTAAGACGTATGAGATAAATCTGGATCTTGATATTGCTATATCTCGAACATCAGCCCCTGCGGAGAAATATCGGCCTTCGCCCGTCAACGTGGTGAATACTGTCCTTGGATGCTTGTCTAGCTCGCGAAATTTCATCCTTAGTTACATTAAACTTCCTTACTAGTGTCTACATGGCTTAGCTTATGTTGACCGACCTAGCTGGAGGTGCTCTAGTGAAGTAGACTGGGAGTAGATGGCTCGCTCTATAATAGGAGGAAAGGGTAGGGTATCCTCCCCAGGTATACAATGAAACACTTCCTATAGCCCCTTCTTCGATAGAATGGTTTTAAAGCTCCTATGGTGCGATTCTACCATTACTATATCAATATTGCTCTCAGCAAACATGTCGGTTAAGTGTGGTGTATACTGTCGACCAGTCTATACTAGACTGCGGCATATCCTCCCCATTAGATATCGGATCATATACCATATCCTCAATGAGGATATCCCCGGATATCCGCCTGGATATGAGGATATTTTGCGATATCCGCAGTAGCATAAATTTCGCTTAACTATCTACTTCGGTGTAGCCATGTACCTCTTATGCAGCTTATCGATTGATTTTTCAAAACAAAAGAATACATATGTTCGGTCCTAACCATACTAACTACCTTATCTACCCCATTCCTTAATGAAATATTTAAAGCTTGGTAATGGCAGTATCGTAGTCAAAAAAGTCACCGGAGCCGGACTCGAGAGTTACCAATTCAGGATTAAGAGAACCGAGCTAAATTAAATTTACTAAGAGATCCATTTTATCGTTATGTTAAGAAAGTCGATTGCGAAGAGAGGGTTAAAGACCTTTGCGGAACCTGGATATCTTTGTGATGCCTGGCCACCCCTAACCTCTAGCTTCGTAAAGAACGCGCTCGAACTTAACGATCTAAACGGCGAGGGATTCGTCAGTGGAATACTTAATCGAAAGGAGACAGTCTTTGGCTTCTTGAGTCTTGTTTAGGTTGTCGTACACACGTCGAAGTTAATCGAGGATGGTATAATAGTCGTGGATACCGGAATCGCGTGTAGAAGCGAGTTATGGAAGAACCATTGCTTAAACTTGACTTACGAGATTGAAAAAGACGTAATAAAATTGAGCTATAAGTTTCCCGATAGCTAGTCCGTCGATAGCGAGTTTTACACGGATCGAAGTATCCCACGTATTGTACTTAAATGATTATCCTGTATCGAGACGCCCCGCAGGAATTATTTTTGTTCGGCGTTGAGGCAATTATACAAAAACGATAGAAATATACTATTCGATGCATTTCTGAAGACAGTTAGGTTTGAGAACACAACCGAACTACCCCAGTGGTGGCCTTCGAATATCTCATATCAACACGACATCAGCCTGACAGACCCTGGTACGTGATCATACTTCTATAATCACATTATGCTGAGATTATTATGAGAAAAATGTGATACGCTCACTGCCATCCTTTGTAATTTCAATGTTGAGAAGCTTGAGAACACATTTGAGCTAAAGGAAGTCCGATTGCAACTTGAAACCGTGACATGCATTTACATGTTAGACACGTTCTTCGAAGCCCGAAAAATCCAAAATGCAGTCAAAAGTGGAGAGTTAGGTATAATCAAACCTTCGATCTTGTCAAATTGAAGTGCTTACATTTTAATACCCGTGCCGGATGCAACCATTCATTTGACCAACTACGCCAGGAATAATTCCAATCTATCGTCGCCGGCTTAAGTGTTCGCACTTTGCCATTGCCATACTGCAGACGAGGAGCATCCTGAGCTTGACTACATCAACCTCAGAGTTGCTAGCCTTGTCAATAAGCATGCGGGGTTCTCTTATTGGACCATATACAATCGCGATCAGACAATGGCATGCGCCGGCAGTGAATTATCGAGTGGCCCGGTTGATATCCGAGACGGTGAGCTGGCAGAGCGGTGTCGCGGTCCAGGAAATACGGGGAACTCATCTTGAGCGTAATTTTCGTAGCTAAGAAGAAAACCAGGCCGGACGAGGGGAGGGTAGCGCAGATTCGTCGCAAGATGGCAGAGGAGCTGACGAGTCATAAGGAAAAAAGTGGGTGGCGGAGCTCAGGAGCTCGGTGATCCGGGTTAATAGCAAAAATGCCTCACCTGCAAGGCCCTTCACCTGCAAGGCCCAAGAATAACCGGGAGACGAGGGCGAAAAGAAAATGACCTGGGTTGTTGGGTCGGGGGGGGGGGGGAACAGGGGACTATATACAACCACGCACGGGTACGCACAGTCAAGTGCGCTAAACCAGAAGGGTCAAAACTAAACTAAATTAATCTTGCACCATAGCAGTCCGATATGGTGTAGTGGCTAACATCGCCGTCTCTCACACGGCAGCCGGGGGTTCGATTCCCCCTATCGGAGTTTCTTTTTTCTTTTGTGTTTTTACGAGTACCCACTTGTGTATTGATTTTGCTTCTATTGAGTCCAGTTTGACCTGTTACAGAATGGGAATTGATACCCCGTATAACGGGCCAGACCCTTCACCAAGAGTGTTAAGTTCAGATAAACATTTCAGTTTGCCTAAATGACGATCTTGTCTTACTCTATAGAGACTGTCATCCACATATATCATCTATACTATTCGGTTTGGCCTCGGCGCGCCAATCTTGGAAAGATCCATAGATCGGTGACATAAGCTGCAGCAGAACGGGGATTGCTTTCAAGGTTAGGGTTTACGGTCTTATGAAGGAAAAGGCTAACACAAAGGTGAGACTTATAGGAACCAACTTGGCGATAGCTTGCACTCTAGGGTCATTCGATGAAGATTACCGGGTGGGATTGCCGGAAAATAAGTATGAAGTAATAGTATCGGAGGAATAGCGCCAGATAAATGAGCCCCTATAGTTCCTTGGTTTGAATGGCCGAGAGACTTCACACTGCATGAACCCCCCTAGGGTTGAAATAAAAACAGGGATAGTCGTTTCTTCGGCTTAAATTTGACATCGGCATCAACCGTGGAGCATAAACGTTTAACTCTATAAGGATGAAAAATTCGGAATACTACATACATACGAGGTAGATCTGAATAGTGACAAAAAGAGCCATGGAAGTGTATAATTATTCAACCAGGAAACACCCGCTTCATCAATATAGCCAGTTCCCTGTGTTGTGCAATGGTTAGTTATATAAAGTCAGTACAGTGCGGACCATTTCCATCTTCACACAGCTCTCACCCCATCGATCTGAAAAATAAAAACTCTCAAAAAATTCATCTTCGACCGATTATCCAAACAATCATGAAGGGTTTCATGGCAATATCTAGCGTTTTAGCCTTCATCGGCCTTGCAATTTGGCAGACCCAGACCACGTGCACTGCAGACGATGTTTTTAACTCGATCACTGCAGTTCAGCATTACGCAGCGGAAATGCAGTCTGTGACTAACACTTCAAATGAAGACATTGATCCTGCTGGACTGAGTTTGAATCTATGTTTTGATCCAACATCTTTTATACAAGGGCTCCGGTAAACTAACTGCGCTTCTGGCCTCGGCCATCTACAAAAACTTCGAAGGTGAAACCAAACACTTTATTGAGGATTTACAGTGCACTTTCAATGCGACCACAGAGGAGTAGACCGCTATTTGCAGTGCTTATGAAGAAGTTAGTTGAGCTCCGACCTTGTGTGTGGAACCAACCCGCTGACATATTATCTTCCTATGCAATCAGTTCGTGACAGCACAGCTGGGTTACCTCTACGTGGCCGATGGACGCGAATTCTACGAGCAAAATGGACATGGAAAAAAGCTGTGAAGATGCATGGATATATTCTGCAGGCGCAGCAGGGTTCAGAGGTAATTTATAAGCACATCTTCCTCGGTTATGGTCTAACAGGCAATACAGAGCTATACAGCTGAGGTCAAAGAAGCAGCTCTATCATGTGCAGGCCGCATTGATACAGCTTATGTACCGCTGGGTGAGCAGCTTCAAACTCTGCTCCAGGCTTACCCCGACACGGCTTAGTCGAAGAGAAGAGCTGTCATATCTAGGCTAGGGGCTCTAATGTCTAGTCTAAGAGAGGGAAGAAACGAAACCTGATTTTGATGTGAATTACTGTTCCAGAATGTCCTTGCTAGTGTCAGATGTTGAAGTCTTTGCTAATCTATATTATTTGGAAGAAATGTTTTAGCAAAGCTAGCTTCATCGACTGGGATTTTTACTTGGTTATCACTACCAATACGTTAGCCTGGAGATCAAGTATATTCTAATGCTATTCCATGCTCTGTAGCTCAATACAGTGCTAAAAGAACAAAAAAAAGAAAAAAAAGGAAGATATTGTATAAGGGAGAAAAACAGTAAACCATAATTCGTATATATATATATATGGCATGGAACAATAATAGGACAGAAGGTATCATGAGAAAATAAACAAAACGTAAGACTAAAAGAATAACCACTGCCCAAACCTTTGAGCCTTACCCCAAATACCCGTCTTCTTCTCGGTAACCAGACCCTCAGCCCCATCCTCCTGAGAAGGATCATAGCGATCCGTCCTCAAATCCATATTAGATTTCCTAACAAAGCTAGTTCTCTTGACCAGCTTCCAAGCCAGGAACATGAAAATCATGATCGGAATCTCGATGTAGTACGAGACGAAGTCGACCTTCTTGAAATGTGGACTAAAGCACTTCCATCCCTGAACAAGCACAAGAACGATATTGAGTCCAACAGCAAAGATCGGACCATATGGATAAGTCCAATTCTTGAAAGGAAGGAGATGCTCAATACCCTGAGCCCGGATTGCGGAACGGAACCGCAGAGAAGCAAGGCCAATACAAATCCACGAGAGCTGATTCGAGACTCCGACAATATTCTGCAGCCAGGACCACAACTTTCCAGCGCCGATATAGCTGGCGCCGAAACAGAGACCGCTGATCACGGATGTTGCAAGGACAGCCACCCACGGAACGTGGAAACGGTTAAGATGACCGAAGAATTTGGGCGCATACCCTTCGATAGCAAGGGTGAATAGCAGCCGAGACCCAGCGAAGAGGGCATGATTCGCAGCGGAGATGACAGATGTCATGATGACGGCGTTGATAAAGCTGCCAGCAACTGCGGAACCGGCTTGCTGGAAGACGATTGTGAAAGGGCTGGTCCGTGTGTCGCCGGTTGAGAGGCCTGGGTAGTCATATGGTACATTCAGGCCGACGATGAGGATCGAGAGGAGGTAGAAGAGAAGAATGCGCCAGAAGACATTGCGAACAACTTTTGGCATTGTTTTCGCGGGGCTCTTGGTTTCACCAGCTGTGATGGCGATGGATTCGGTGCCGCCGCTGTTTGGATTGTTAGAATGAAACTCATTTGATAGAAGTGACGATGAGATAGGTTCACGTACTATGCGAAGGAGGCCGTGACGAATACTGATGCAAAGCCGCCGATTCCACCGACGAAGGGTGCCTCGCCTTTATTCCAGTTTTTACCGCCAATGTATTTGTGGTCTGTATTTCCGCCACAGTTGACAGCAATTCCGAGAATGATGAAGATCTAACAGGGAATTAGCAGGGCGTGCGGGTGTGTAAGAGAATGACACTTACAATGATGGTGATGACTTTGAGTAAACTCAACCAATATTCAACCTAGAGAGGAACGGTCAGATCAGATGCAATAGAGTGGAAACCATGCACACATACCTCGCCATAAACTTTCACAGACAAGATATTCAATGCAATGACAACAACCAAGAAGATTAGACTGATTGCCCAACCTGGGAAATTATCTGTCCAATACTGCAACAAAAGCTGTAAAGCTATAATATCCGAAGCAGTGGAGACAGCATCGTTGAACCAATAATTCCACGTCAATGCAAATCCAAGCGCATCATCCACGAAGCGACTGATAAAACAAGTCAGTAACCATCCGGTTAATTTAAACTCAAGCAATACTCACCCAGCATAAGTACAGAAAGATCCCGCAACAGGCATAAATGCGGCCATTTCACCGAGACACAACATAGTTATAAAGACAATAGCACCACAGACCGCGTATGCAATAAGCATTGAAGCAGGCCCGCCCTTGGACAGTGACGAGCCCGTTCCGAGGAACAAACCGGTTCCGATGGTACCGCCAATAGCGATCATCTGGACCTGACGTCCAGACAAGCGACGAGCCAGCTTGTCTGCGTTGACAATGGGGTTTGATTGGACATCATAGGCTGTAGCTTGAACCTTGGATGGCTCTGCTGCCGGGTATTTCTCAATGTCGACCATGATGAGATTGAGATGGATACGGAAGTATCCTCTGACATTATGTTAGTACGATGTACTATAGATGCATAAAAAAAAAAGGGTCGAATCGTTGTTGTTTACCTTGGTATGTAAGCTGTTTCAGCCCTAAGTCGCGTGACCCACACTAGCTTTGATACCCGACTATCAGATGCATCAACAGTCGAAATAAAGATGGACACAAGGACAAGGAAAAAAAAACATGAAAAAATCCGACATGTAATTAATGCCCCGATGGCGTGATTGTAGCCATCGATGAGTGGACGGGGCTTGACCGTCCAAATGCGACATTGATGTGTCAAGGAAATTGTCGACTCCACAAGCTTAGGCTGATTGGACTCTTCACGAGATTTAGAGCTTTATAGCTTGTTTATAGGCACATGGCACGTTATTTAGGTGCCGATTAGAGCTTATTTAGACTTCTATGTTATATTGTATCTCAATACATGGCTGAAAATTATTCGCTTCATATTCACTATGCTTTTAAACCTGGAAAAGAGATTTTGGTTGGGAAAATATACGCAAAGGACCTCAACCCATGAAAACATGAACAAAAATGTACATTAACCAAGCAAACCACTGGCCAAAGCCTCCAGATCTCCCAAAGTTTCGATAGGCTTGGAAACCTGGCTCTGCTTGCTTTTGGGCTCGTCGTCGCTGTCCGGCTCGGCAAACGAAACACGCTGCTTCTTGCTGGGCCGGGGCTCGTGGCGCTCCGAGGCATCTGAATCGGACCCGGGGATCTCGAAAGGCACATGGGGAAGATGCGAGAAAGCGCCTTCCTCCTCCGACATCTCGGCCTCGGCCTCGGCACGCTCGCGCGCCTTGCGCTTCTCCTTCTTCTCGCGCCGCTTCTCGCGCATAACCTCCTTGTCCTCGATATCGGCTTGCTGCGTGCGCGCCGTCTCGCTCTCGAGGAACTTCTCGCGCTGGACGTTGGCATCGCCACGGGCCTTGAACGCATCTTCGTCTTCCATTTCGTACACCTCGTGGGCAACGCCCTCGTCGTCGTAGACCAATTTCGTACCCTTGCCCTTGAACTTGAGAAGCTTCTTCTTCGACTTGAGCAGTTTCTCGCGTCGCTTCGAGTCGATGAGTAGTGGATCCTGGCCATCCAAGTGCACCATCTTGACACCCCGGGTGTCTTTGGTCTTGGGCTCGGCATCGGAATCCTCCGAGTCGGAAGAATCGCTCTTCTCGCCAAGATCTGCGTCGCCTGCGGCGAATCGGCGCTTGACTGAGAGGAAGTCGGCATCCTCGTCCGCCTCGTCGTCGATCTCGGCACCAGCGTCCTTGGGGGCATCGGTAGCCACCATCGTGCCATCGTCGTTGATGAGCTTCGAGTAGTGCTCCGCCAGCACGCCCTGGTTGCGTCGCTCGAACATACGGTCGTACCGTGTCCGCACCTCCTTCTCGTCCTTCTTATCCTTCTTCTCTGTGTCTGAGTCGTCATCACTGGACATGTGTGCCATTCTCCAGGATTCGTTCTTGCGCTCCTTCGCATCGTCACCCTTGATGAACTTGATGCGCGGGGCACCGGGAAGACCCAGACTGGCTGCATACTCTTCCAACGGCAGCTCCTTGATCTTAAAGGTCTCCTTGTCCTTTTGCACGTAAATCGACTTGACGTAGGAGATGAAAGCTTTCTGGCCCAGATACTTCAGCTCTGGATCCTTGAAACACATGTTTTGTAGCTGGTTCTTGACACTCTGCTGCTTGTTCGATTTGATATTGATCTTCTCAATGGGTACCTTCTTGTGCTCAAGCTGCTTGAGGAATCCCTTCTCCTCGCTAGGGTCTAGGAACAGCACGGCACGACCAACACGCTCGTAACGCGCTGTCCGTCCAACACGATGAATGTAGGTATCGGCATCTTCAGGGCAGTCCATTTGAATAACCCAATCGACAGCGGGGAAATCCAGACCACGAGCAACAACGTCGGTAGCGAAAAGAACGGCGTGTTGAGCCTGAGAGAACTTTGTGGTGATATCCAGTCGTCCACCCTGCTTCTGCCGCCCATGCAGGTGGAGCAAGGAAATACCAGGCTGCAATTGTCTTAGTGATTCGTATACATATCGAACTTGCTTGCCGGATGACAAGAAGACGACGGTCTTAGATTTGAGGTTGCTGCGAATGAAACTCCAAAGGGTATCAAGCTTCTGCGGGAGTGGAGTAACGGTGTAGTGTTGTTGGAGAGTGGAGGGAGTGGCGGAGGCGGCTGCTTCGTGGACCGAGACATATTCGGGTTCCTGCAGACTCAAACGAGCCAAATCACCGACCTTCTTGGTCTGTGTGGCACTGAACAGCATAGTCTGGCGCTGTTTAGGGAGATGGTCGAGAATAGCATCCACGGTCTTCTGGAAACCCATATCCATGATACGATCGGCTTCGTCCAGCACCAGCATCTGCAGGTTATTCGTCTCAAACATAGCCGTCTGATCCAAATGCTGCAGCATGCGACCGGGCGTGCAGACCAGGATGTTCATACGTCCCAGGCGATCTTGCTCCTCGCGCAGACTCTTTCCGCCAATAACCAACCCAGCAGAGAAATTGTGGTATCTTCCAATTTTGCGAAGCACCTCAAAGATCTGAATCGCTAATTCACGCGTAGGCGAAATAACGAGTGCACCGAGACCATCCAACTCGGTCCATTTCTTGCGATAGAGATTCTCGAGAATGGGTACTAGAAAGGCGAGGGTTTTTCCGCTACCGGTTTTGGCGGCACCGAGGATATCGCGCCCCTTGAATGCATAATTGATAGCACGCGATTGGATGTCGGTGAGAGTTTTGAAATGAGAGGCCGAGAGGCCTTTGGCTGTTGGTTCGGAGAGTGGGAGATCGGAGAAGTTTTTGACGGGGACTTTGAGATCGAGGTCCTCCACTTGTTTGACGAGGGTAGCTAAGCTATCCTCACCACGCTTCCTTTTCAAGACTCTCCCTGTGTCCTGATGAGTCTTGGACTTTCCTTTCACTGCTCGCGGCGCCATGATGTTTGAGTTGAATCTTGAAAGTTAGCGGGCGGTGAAAACATCTTTTTTTTCTTCTTGGGAGCGAAAAACGAAGGCGGTAGGTAAAGCGGTGAGTATCCAGCCAGGTACATATACAAAGTAGATCTTTTGATGCCTTCGTCTCATAATCTCGTCTTATATATGAAGTATCTGGTATCCTTTTGGGCCCACTAGATGTTTGGTTTTATCCAAGACTTTGTCATGGAGAGAAGCATAACTAGACTCTTTTTGTGTTGCTGCCACCTCCCCCCGCGAGGTCCTGCAGACGATTTGATGACTCAGCGGCTGATAAGCCCGCGTGCTGTCTTATCATATTTGGCAAGGTTAATCTCATGAGCGACAGGAACATGTCTACGTCAAAAGAATCCGCACCAGGCAATATGTCCGACGAAGATCAGGATTTCCTCGAATCTCTGGAGAAAGAGGCCACCGAATTTAACAAGGTAATTGCCCCTCTGCATGGTGTACATCTATACTCCGACTGACACGCGACACAGGATGTTGAAATCGACCGCATTCGCAAGGCATTTAGCCTCGATTCGTAAGTTCAATTTTCCTCAAGCTCTGAAATAAGCTACTTTCCCATCTATTTTTTAAAAGATACTAACCCACTGCAGCTACGCCGTCCTGGACCTCCAACCCGGTGTGACAGAAAAAGACATCAAAGTTCAATACCGCAAGATTTCACTTCTGATCCACCCTGACAAAACCAAGAACCCCGCTGCTCCAGATGCCTTCGATCGACTCAAAAAAGCACAAACCGCTCTTCTAGATGAGAAGCAACGCGAATACCTGGATGAATGTATATCCGACGCGCGCCGCCTGTTGATCCGCGAACACAAGTACACGCTCGACTCCCCCGAATTGAAGACGGAGGAGTTCAAGGTCGAGTGGCGGAAGAAGACGGTCCAGGTGCTATTGGAAGAAGAAGCGCGACGCCGGCGACAACTCAAGGCGCGCTTGCAGGAGGAAGGTCGTGAGCAACGCAAGGAAGAGGAAGAGCTTGAGGCGCGCAAACGAAAGCGCGACAATGACAAGAAGTGGGAGGATACGCGAGAAGAACGAATTGGTAGCTGGCGCGATTTCCAGAAGGGGCGCAAACCTGGTGGTGATGAGAAGAAGAAAAAGAAGAAGATGAAGGTGTTGGGTTGACTTGAACTTTCTTTTCTTCTGAGCGTTATGGGAGTTTGGGGATCTACGATCTACTTATATGAGCTGTCACGGCCACGGCCGCAATTGAGCATTTTTTCAAATTGCGTTCAGTAAATTTCTTGAATATCATACATGTCCGTAGGTGTCCACGATACTCAGATCCATGAGAATCTACCGAGTTCCACCGATACACGATACACCGATACACCGAGAAACCGAGAAATGCGGGGAGACGGGGTTCGAGAAGTTTCCAATTTCTTCAAATCTTCAAGAGTCTATGTATGTATACACAAATACATATGTAGATAGATATATCCCGAGGTCTACTTGACATATCCCCGCAGTGGATTAACTTGCGTCTCCCCGAGCCCACCCCGCCCCGAACCTCCTGTCAACCTCACCTCACAAGCATGACTGAACCGATTACAAAGTCCGTGCCATTCCGGCCGCAAGATCACCTCAAGCCATTCCCGCCACTGTCAACATCCGAGCCATTGAACCAAACACAGGAACCCGAGAACCTGAATGGAACAACCCACACCAAACACACCAATGACTCAACCAGCAACGAAACTATCCCCCCTCTCCCAACCGTGATCGCACGCATCCATGCCCGCGTGCAAGCCTTCCTAAACGAATCGCACCCTTCGGACACGCTGCTAGCCTCGGTGCAACGACAAACGCGGATCTCGCTAGAAGTAGTCAGCACTGCGCTACAGCGATACAAGCTCTCGGAACTCTCCGTCTCCTACAACGGCGGCAAGGACTGTCTGGTCCTTCTAATTCTGTTTCTGGCCGGGTTGCATCCAACACGCGCCCGTAATGACTACCCCTCCAATGCCGAGGCAAACGAAAGCGCAAACGACACAACCCCCTCCCCTGCAGACCTCGACGCGGAGGCCCAAATAGCCGCTGCGACGGTCATCCCAGCAATCTACGCGCTCCCGCCTGATCCCTTCGATGAAGTCGAAGACTTTGTCGTCTCCTCGGCTGAAGCCTATCACCTCGCTATTACAAAGTATACGACCGCGCCGCCGGCTTCGACGCTCCGCTCTAGCTTTGAGGATTATCTGGCGCGACACCCTGGGATCCGGGCGATATTTGTTGGTACGCGGCGGACGGATCCGCATGGTGCGCAGTTGACGCACTTTGATCGGACGGATGGCGGGTGGCCAGATTTTGTGCGCGTGCATCCCGTGATTGATTGGCACTATGCGGAGATTTGGGCGTTCATTCGGCATCTGGATTTGAAGTATTGTTCGCTCTATGATGAGGGATATACCAGTCTTGGCGGCACGTCTGATACCCATCCTAATCCGAGATTGCGGGTTGGCGCCGAGGCGGATGGACAGTATCTTCCTGCTTACCAGCTCACTGAGGATCTGGAGGAGAGACTTGGGCGCAATTGATTTGAATAGTGTGGATTTTCTTACATGTGTATAGACTGAGATTCCTATCTCATTGGCCTTTTCGGATAGATTGCTTTGCACTTTACAGTTGTGTTCGCGCACCTTGCTTCTTGAACATGGACACCTGTGTGGAGTAGTTTTGGTCTTGAAATGATATCATATTAGACTGCGCAACCCACCAAGGTGCGATAGCGTTCTTTGAACGAAGTCTTGAAACATGCATCTTGTCTGTCACATATTGCTGAAAACATGCGATGTCCGTATAACTGCGAAGAGAAAAGAAAAAGACGAAAGCAACTCCCATCCTCCCATCAAACCCCATAAAAATGCAAATCCAACTCCATAATGATACCGCGTGGATTGTATAGCAATACTGCAAACCGTTAAAAACAGAAAAACAACCGAATGTCATATCGTGAATCATGAATCTTGAATCGTGGAACAATTCTAAAAAATGCAAGGCGGAGCCATACATCGTCGATACATTCTGCGAATGGTAACAGATGCTGCGCATTTGGACATTAAAGAGCACCCTCAAAAGGTGCTGATCAATCTTACCCCGGGTGGTAAGATGATGTAAAGCATCCCATGCAAATACAGATAGGCGTGGGAGCATATTGCGCGGCGGGTTTAAGTGCACGAGCGAGCCGGAGAAAGAATGGCCATGGGAGAAGAAGAAGCGGGGGATTCAGATCCCGCTCTGATGTTCTCCTTGCGAGGGCCCATGGTCGGCGAGTCCGGCATGACAGTCTTGGAAGAGCCACCAGAGAGATCAGTGTAAGAGTGGCGGTTCAGTGAGAAGGCTCGACTGCGATAGGCGGGCGTGTGATCAAGAGCATTCAGGCTCCGAGACGACAAGGAACTGCTCCGTGCACTGCTAGATGGATTCTTCATGTGTGGGTGGCTGTGAACTCAATTAGAACGAATGGGTAGAGTTACGATGCAGTGTAAGTATTCGGACATACCAAGGAGAGATCGATGTTGCTGGGGTCCAGTTAGAGCCCACTCCAGCTGGAGAGGTGTAGCTGACTTGGGAGCTTGGAGTAAGATGAGAGCCACGTTTCATTCCGGGGGAAGGAGTTGACCCCTGCACCACTTCAACCGAGTAGTTGTACTCTCCGGCGCGGTAAGCGCGACGTTCGTTGCTCTGTTGCTTCAAAATCTTTTGGGCCTTGGTATCAGCAAAGCGTAGGAGGAGCTTTACCCCGTCGTCCTTGGGGGCATTGTGGAATTCCACCAGGACCTTTTCGGCAACATCACGGTTTTCGAAGCTACAAATCAAGATTCAGTCTTCAGTCAGAACAAGTCATGAGAATCAAGTAATTGGCTCTGTTACCGTGCAAAGCCCACTTCCTTGCTCACACCTGTCTTCTCATCACGACTGATTTTCTCCGAAATAACACGCCATGGCTCGAAATGACGACGCAGGTCCTGGTAACCTAGTTAGAATCCAACGGAATAGGTGAGGGCGGGCTTGTATAACTCACAGCTTCAGTCCAATCGATTGGAATGTTGGTGCAGTATATATTAGTAGAAGACTTGTCCTCCAGATCCTTCAAACGAGAGTTGCGAGATTTCTGGGCAAAGCTGGCTTGATAGCCGAGGTAAAAGAAACCCCGAATGCAGTTCTCGCAGGACTCGAAGCTGTAATACTGAACAAAACCGAATCTGGAAAAATATTAGAATAAATCATCGGAACAAAATGTTGTGGAGTAGATACCCTTTGCAAAGACTAGTGTCTAGGTCCACGATCGCCTTGCAACGCTCAATCTTTCCGAAGCGGGCTGCGTACGCATGCAACATCTCATCGGTGGTCTCGGGCAGGAATCCTCGGATGTAGACATTGGTTATACCCTCACGGTTCTCCAGACACTTGGCAAGTGTCAGCTCGGACGGGTTGGTCCACATGGCAGGCACCGCACGTGGGATGGCAGGCTCTTGCTGGGTCAGAGCCTCCAGGTCTTGAACGACGTATCCGTTGGGAGTCTTCATCATTTGAAGGGGAAGCGAGAGCGACCCAAGCTGGGAAGGAACCATACCACCATAAGCATAACCAGCCATGGAACCGCCATCCACTCCAGAAACAAGGGCTGAGGGATAGTAATGGATTTGACCAGCGTTGTCCGCTTGAGCTCCCTTCTGGGCTTCAGGCGTATTCCATGCAGCTTGCTTGGTAGCTGTGTCATCCTGCATATCGTAGTTCATCATGTAGGGCCATGACGAATATCCACTAGCCACCACAGGGCTGACATTTGGATAAACTCCCGTGGGAAGATAGGAGAATTGGCCCATCTGATCAGTCTGACCAGAGACACCGTTGGGAACAAAGGAAGAGACGGTCGGCATGCCATTGAAAACGTTGGAATTAGGAACCAGGATGAATGGGCTGTTGTACGCACGGTTGGTATTCGACCAGTCCATGTTTGTGTTCACCTGAACGGGCGCAGCGCCCTTCGGGCCATTGAACTTGGGTCGAGAATTCTGCAGATTCAATCCTCTGAAAAGATTGGTCAGGCCTGCAACGCTGCTGTCACTAGAACTCGGATTGGTAGATTGCTGGTACCTGGGGCCATACGGCGTACGAGGCTCGTTTTGGTAATGTACGGACTGGGAGCTTGATGTCTGACCAGAGCCAGAGGAGCTCGTGTGCTGGGAGCCGTGCATGATGAAGGGCGGACACTGGCAAAGATAAATTTTGTCAGCTGGTTCTTCGGGGTTCACAAACATGCAAAGGAAAAGGCCTTAATGGGCAATTCCTATGGCCTCCAGTTGGCAAAATTCTCAATGGAATGGGTTCAATGGCATGAAACCTCACCTGATTTCCTGCACCAAATTATATAGACACTTCCGACCAGAAGGTCTGGCTGCTGTCCAAGCATGCCAGGGTCAGTCAAAATGGAGACTGAGAGGATAGTCGAGCGTGACCAAAATTGAGTGGAAGGCTTACCTATTTGCGAGGGTGCAACCTGCCGTCTGTTCTCTCAGGCTGCAAGGCGTCTGATAATAACTCGAGGCGATGAGGTAAGTGGGGATGAGGTATACGACAACGAAAGTCTGGACGGTCATGAAATGGAAAATGGAATAAATGGGCCAGGACGAGACCGATGGCAAGGTAAATGGGGAGATGGGGGGATGGGATGGAGATGGAGATGGGATGAAGATGGGAGGATGAGATGCAGGAAGAAAATCTCCCCAAGAAGAAAGAATGGCAAACTTGGACGAGGAAAAAGCGTAACAATGAGAGAAGGAGCTATGGGGAAGTTTGGGTGTTGGGGAAAATAGAAAGGGAAGTCACATGGGAGACAACTATATGTGTACCTCTGATATAGGAGTATTGCATATGCTCTGAAGACAGATGGAAAAATCTCAGACTTGAATTGAAAAGGATGCTAAATTGCAACAGTTTTATATCACGAAATCATATCTATGAGAAAGAGCAGCAGGCATTGAGTTGGGGAATCAAGATATCCAAAAGGAAAATACTCAAGGAACTTCACTCAATATGAAAAGCACTTATTGAGACTTCTCCTGTAACCACTTATAAACCACCGAGAAATCCTTACCACGGTGTTCCTCCTCAACAGCCTTGTACACCTCACGGGCCTGAGCACCCAGGGCGAGAGGAGTATTAGACTGTTCCGCAGCCGCAAGAGCCAAGCGAAGATCCTTGTGCATGAGACTAACCCCGAATCCGCCCTCGTATCCACGCGACGCGGGGGCTGTCTCAACGACACCAGGAACAGGATTGTTAACCTCAGAAGGCCAGCAACGACCAGTGGAGGAATTGATCATATCCGCTAAAGCCTTGGGGTCGAGTCCCCAGCGAACACCGAGGTTCATAGCCTCAGCAGTGGCGATATTATTCAGAGCCAAAATGTAGTTATTAGCGAGCTTGCCGGATACACCCGCACCAGGCTCACCAAGATGCCAGGCTTTCTTACCCATCAAAGCGAGCACATGACGGATGCGCTCAAGCTGCTCGTCTGTCTGTAAAGAGGCACCGAACATAAACGACAACGTTCCTGCGCGAGCACCCACCACACCTCCTGACACGGGGGCGTCCACAAAGCGGCCGGTTTGGGTGGTATGGATGGCGTTTGCGATATCCTTGGATGTGACAGGGTCAATGGTAGATGCGTCGATAAAGAGACGCTCCTGCTCGAGCGGTGGCAGCGCTCCGTGTTTAAGGATAGAGTGGAACACGTCAATGACATGCTGAGACTCCGGGAGACTGGTAACCATGACAATCTAAACCGCAGACAAAAACAAGCTTAGTTATCAGACCCCAGAGTTGACCCACACGGTAGATAACCACTTACCGATTTCTCGGCGACCTCACGCGCACTCTGAGCGATCTCGACTTGGCCTTCATTGGCGCCTGCGCCATTGCTTTGTGCGGTCTCCCGGGCCTCTGCGACAAATCTTTTCATAGCATCTTCATTGACGTCGCGAATAATCAATGTGTCGGATGCGGGGATCTTGGCGCGTAGGTTTTTGGCCATATGGTAGCCTAGGACAGTTAGCTAATGCGAATACAATACAAACAACCCGCAGTCCATTGTATAGCCGAAGTTCCTCGGGTCCTCAGGCCCCGGCCGCGGATCTCACAACGTACCCATTTGTCCCAGTCCGACGAAACCCCACGTCGCATCACGATGCATAGTTGTGGAGAAAGCTCGGGCCTTGCTGGACGGCCAGCGTCGGGGATCCACTGCGGACGCATGGAAGCAAGTCGCCTTCCGTGGGAGGCACATAGCTGTTCGGAGACTCATTTTCTGATAAATGTGATGTGCTATCCAAAACCGAGGAGAAATGGTACGTGATAAGTAATGAGTGGTAATAGACAATGATGATTGACGGGTCAACAATGCCGAGTCCAAGGGGATAGAGCAATGTTGGATTATTTGGATCTAGGAAAGTTGAGATGGGGAGACGGAGTATTTAAGAGAGATTCTACTATTCCAACTCCCCACAGGTTTTAACCGTGGCTTTCCGAGATG